TCGATCCAGGATTCTTCCATGATTAGGTCTAGATCTAGGCCTACTGCTATTTAATTTACTTTTACTTAGATGATGATGATGATGATGATGAACAGCATTTGTATAGCGCCATTTATCTAGTAGATCTAGATGTAGGTCTAGAGCTAGTCCTACTCTTTTCTATTCAATCATGGGCATTGCTTCATGCATGGTCATTTGTTTTTATAATTAATTTGTCTAGAAAGTGCGATATTGGATCTAGAAAAATTCTAGATTCTAGACCATGATTTCTCATAATTATTCTAGACCTAGGTCTACACAAAGTTTGGTCACACCGCCATACTAAGGAATTCATGGTCCCAGGCCAGGCCATACTGAATACTGATCTTGAGATAGTATTCTCTGTCATTCACTCTTGTTAATATCTGACTCTGACTTTTCTTAAACTTTTAAAATAGGAATTCGCAGAAGTTAAAGAAAATTCCAAATTACTTGCAAATCACATCAATAGGAATCCAGACGTTGTCTTAATTTCTAAACTCAAGTAGACTAGACGTCTAGATTCAGAGTAGAATTAGTGGAACGAAAACATGTATAAGTATGATTTATGAATAGGGGGGGGGGGGGTGTTGTCTAAATACATAACTTGCCTTTGGATTAGGTAAAAAAAAAAATATTCATCAAGAACACTAACTTTAACCATCATAAATATGTGTCCTCCATATACTTTAAATACTCTTTACTACTTAAGGAATAAGGTCCTGACTCCCAGAGAGCCAGAGAAGACGGGTGAATACAGGTGAAATGCAGCTTGTAAACTTCTGCAAATGTTTTTTCTTCTTTTTGAATGTTTTAAATTAACTGTCCAGATACACAACCTGTCCGGACACACATCATCTAGGTATAGAAGCTAAAAGACAAATTTCTAGTGACCTGGGTTGCAAGTATTACAGTAGATAAAAATGACCTTCTGATATGGGGAAATTCTTTAATAAAACTGGAAATTCAACATTTCTAAAGTTCATTTGTAAGAAAGGAGAAGCAAGGAGTGGCAAATATTTAAATAAATCTTACCAATAATTAGAGAGTTATGATTGTTTGAAATAACCAAGTCTATGCATGTTTCAAATTGTCAATTTAGTTTCATGCATGTCGTAATACTATATTAAAAATATGAGTTATAAAGAGATTTTGCAAGTTTGAATTCATTCTCAATTAAAAAAAACCCAACTGCTTTTTGAGTAGACTACTCAACGCATTCATATGCATTTGTATCAAATAGAGGTACAGAACCCACGTCTGAATTGGGTTCCATGTGCACCATTTTGTGTTCTTCTTTATTTTCTTCAAACTCCTTATCCGTTAGCCCATGCAGTAGATTGCGAGATGAAGTCTTTTGGGGTTGATTTTATACATTATAGCTGTTAATTTTTTAGGTGATTGATACTCTTTTAAATTTGGATTTTCAGAGTATGATATACATTTAGGAAGGCAATTTCAGGAAGCTGTGTGTTATAAAAGAGATCTATACATGTACATGTATGTAGTATATTAGTTGTATTGCAAACACAGGACAGGATATAATAAAGTAGATTAGAAGAGTGGGTCTTTGTTTTCCTGGTGGCAAAGTTGATGGATATAGTGATCTTCTTTATGAACACACCATATTCTTTTCAGCCACCACACCATATTCTTTACAGCCACCACACTGATCTTGAACAATCACTAAAGGATTGCATTTCAATGTATTTGTATTCTCTCCTTTAAAGATCACTTTTCACTTTAGAGACGGAATTGTAAGTGATTCTTCAACTTTCTTTGAGGTTTACAGACCTCTGACTCAAGTGTTGACTTAATGGTCACGCAGATTAAATATTTGGTTACTTGTCCAGTAAAAAGGGTGATCTAAAACCACTTTACGTTACTCCTCCACCAATCAAACAATCCAATTCAATTGATTGCGCTATCCTGGATTCCCATTCAATTCCCATTCAATTCCCAGCAATCTGAAGGACATGTGTTGTTTTTTAAAGCCAGCTGTGCATGCATGAATAGAGTCCATGGTTGCCAAGGTGACGATCAAGCTAGATATCGTAGTCTGAAAGGAATCCCTTTGTTTAGTTCGGTTACATTGTATTTATCTAGGGAGCTGGCAGGTTGTAGGTTTCCTTTTCAAAAAATTTCAGAGAAGTATTGACTTGCTGCCACTAATTTGTGTTTGATGAACTTCCCCGAAGGCATCTGACAAACTTTTACACTGTACTGTATTATTTGTCTCATTGCCTTTAAAATTTGAAAGAGCATATTATTAAAAAAAGAACAGGATCTTTTACTCAATATGTATTTGATTTAATGTATCTGTCATTACCCATCGTCATGTAGTTTCTTCGTGCATTGCAGAATCACTAGAGCTACATGTATAGGTCTTAATGAATAGTCGCTTTCCTCTGGAATCTTTTCTGTAAGATCTTAGAAATTGAGTATGTAATACCCCTTTCAAACTTGCCTGATTTTCATCGGATGCATCCGGATGCATCGGATGAAATAGCCACTATGAATGCTACAGAGAAAAAAAGCAGATTAAATAGCCACTGAAAAGAAGAGAAATAGGCGATTAAATTCTCATTCAATCGGTCAGACACCGATGAAACAGCTATTGTGAATGCGTTTGGGAGAAAACACCGATTAAAACACTGATTAAAATGGTCTAATGTCGCAGTGTACGTGAGCTTTATCGTAACCAGCTGTGTTTGTTGACTTTTTGTTGAACATGCTGCATGCCAGCTAGATGAGGCGTGGGCTTAATAATTTTGTAATAATTCTTCACTTCTGGCAAGGGGTCGCCACAGCGAGTGAATTTCACCGGCAGTATGAAAGCGACAGCAGGGAAAATGATGGTTTCACCTTTGTTTACATTTAAGGAAAATTCAATCGATATTTTCATCGGTGTAAATCCGAAAGAAGCCAGTTTGAAAGCAGTATAAGATAGATCTTAGTGGAAACTTCTGACAGATACCAGATGGAAAAGATGAGCTACATATACATTTTTGTAGATGCAATTTCTAGAATTCATCACCCAATATACAATCATCAAATTCTAAGTGTGCAGTATAGTTGTAGAAGAGCTAAGGGTTATAGAATTTAGAATCTATTTACCAATAGGATAGCATTGGAGAAAATTCTATCAGTTAAGCAAGGTCCTGGAATTGTGGAATAATTTGCCACATGCATTCAGAAATACAGAAACTCTTTCATCTTTGTTACATTAATTACATGTATGTACGCTACATCGGTTGGATGATAATCAGACTTTGTTTAGCGGATCTCATTATGCAACAACACCAGGCACTTTCAAATTATCATGGTGGAGCTTTTGCAGTTTTACCAACACATCTTTCAAGTATTTGATGAATTACAGTACACACATTGTATGTTAGTCTTTTCAGTGTACAATGAAACAGCGTATAAAGAATCATCATATAGTGTAAGGGGTGTACAGACTGGATAACAACATGAAACGTTGTATAAAGAAACTACCGGTAGTCTTTTCAGAGTACAATGAAACAGCGTTTAATAAAGAATCATCATATAGTGTAATCATTAGTGGACACTCATTTTAAGCCCTAACCAGTAAATAATATTTTTTTGTATGATACCAAGTCTAGAATTGAGTGAGAACCCAAGTCTTTATTGAGTTTTCGTTTGAAACGTTGCTCAAACGTGCGTTTCGCTACATGTACATGTATATGATGTTTCTGGCTGGTTCAAGTATCTACGATGTACATTGGTAAACATTAGTGAAATGTACAGTGTAAAATGTAAAATGAATAGTCCCCATCAGACCATCATGTAAAGCAGTCATTATCCCAGCCCCCAGGGCAGACAGGCACTCGATGTCCTCACTCATCCATTTATTCTTTGAATCACATTGTACTAGACTTGTAAAGTGTGCCTTCTAAGCCATACATTAGCTGGCCATTCTATTGATTATACCCACAATGATCAATGCTACGAGCCGAGCCACTAGCTCTTCTCATCTGCTCCATGTATTATTGAGCTAGCTCTGAAGGATATTGGACGATGAGGATTAATTTTGTTATTCACCTGAGCCTCAGAAGTCTACTACAATAGGGGAGGTGTCAGAGACAGACATGATATAACTGCATGTCCTGCCACAATGTACTTGTACATCTTGGCAATGCAGAGAAAATTGTCTACCGGTATTCGTTTTAATAATACTTTTTCAGATCATTACATGGATATCTTATATTATGAGTATTGTTACTTGTGAATGTTTTTGAGCCTCAGAAGTTGGCTAAAAAAGGGATGGTATCAGAGATAGACAAGATACCACTGTCTAGCCACAATATGCACACACATCTTGACAGTGCTGAGAATATGGACTTGAACATTTAGACTATTAGGAACTTGCATATATCTTGATTTTAAAGCAAAAGCTCTATATGCCTACAACAGTTCTTGGATCTTCACTTTTCCTGTCCATGAATTTTTATATATTACTTTTGACAATGAACCTGAATTTATGACTGATACAGATGTAATCAAAATGTATATGTTTCATTTGGAAATATGTTATGGTAGTCACATACTGTACACTATCTTAATGAAATAGATATACATTAGTACATCAACGAGCGATCTTAGAAATTGATGAAATTATGAAAATACAATGTAAAAGTAAGAGAAATTGAAAAGTAAAGTGAAAACAAACAAGTATTTATTGAAGTCACCCTCTTTCTGTTATCACCACCCTCTCTAATTTGTGTCATTTAGATCCGATTGTTATAAATATATTTAATACATGCACATATTAATGACTCATTTTTGTCCTTCTCTTTTCAGAAATGGAGTGATCATCTTTGGAGTTTCATCAAAGGGTGAAACCGTTTAACTCTGAAAGCTTCTCAACAACCGAGAATAAAGAAAGACACATCTGATAATCAAAGTATCCTCTAATATAGATGCAAACAATGATCCTGAGGCAGGAAACACTTCTTTAATCATTATATGAACAGTACAGTATCTTGAAACTACTTTTTAAAATGGAGGACAAGCAACAGCGCAATTTGCGCCACTACCACCACCAGGCACGGTTACTCTTGACCGAACGAGAGCGTGATCTCCTGCATGACATGCTGAAGGAGTACCAGAAGTACCACAATGCTCGGCAGTTCGTCTCCGATCTCCGCAGCATCCTCAACACGCCAGCCAAGATGGACCTACTCCGAGAGATCAGGAACCTGGTGCCTCCCACGTACCTGCAGGAGTTTGACACCTTGGCTCCGTACGATCGCATGGCCCATCCGATGGTCATGCATCTGATGCAGGATGCCCCTGTCTTTAAGAGGTCTCCTAGCTGGCATGGGAGAGCGTATGAAAGGACTTGTGATACGCAGAGTGAAGACTTGGGTAAGGAATCTTTGGTTTATAATGATAAAATGTCCATTTATTTAGCACAGAGCTTACAAATGTCTCTACTGCATTTAACATGGAGTATCATATTATTAGCCCAAATTTAGCAAAACTGCCTGGAGCTTCACTTGGGTGGCAATGGTAGATGAATGTCTTCCCAAAAGACATTTCTCCTGTGGCGAGACTCAAATCATGAACCTTTTGATCATACTGGTAGTTTGGTTATGCTGTGCTTGAAACTAACAGGTGACTAGTATAATTTCACCTGGGCGTCAAAATTCTAACTCCAGACCCCCAAATTCTAACTTCAGACTCCTAACTTTAAGAATGTTAACTTTGGGTCTATGATCCATACCAAGAAATTGTCAATTTGAACCCTCAGCCAAAGAAATACCTGTCTCAGTTTTGAGTTGCGATGTTCTGCTGTTTATATGAGTGTGGCCCAAAATTTGTTTCTTCCCAGAACACTAACGGTTGCAGTCAGTTGTAAAGATTGTTGCCAGAAAAGAAAGGTTGAATATTTAATGCAAAATTTAATGATTTTACTATAAAAAAATACCCCAAATTTTGTCTGTTTGGAGCTAGAAGGGCATTAATTCTGGCACCTATAAACATACTAGTAATATGGTAGGTGCATTAAAAATATACCTTATTATTATTATTGTTATTTTGTTATACAGTGTACTTAGATACATAAATGTATAGTCAATGCCCTGTAGGCTCCCTACAGTGTTAGGTGTTGGCTAATCGTTGCAGAAATTACAAATGTAAGAAAGCGTTTTAAGATTTGTTATGTCTTGTTGGTCTGACTTTAAAAAAAAAGTATTATAGAATCCGAAATCATCTTTCTTGGGCAGTGCAAAGACCCTCCCATTCGCTATTGATTTTTTACCAAATCCACCCAACCCAAACCAACAGAAGGTTATCGAACCAGAATGGACTCGCTTCTGTTTTTGTCTGAATTCTGATAATTTTCTTTTTTTACATCCTTACGCTGATATTCTTTAGAATCACTGGGGCATTAGCTCACCACAAGATATTGACTTCCAATAAAACCTTTGTTGCATTTGTGTAGTAATTGTTCTTAGATTGTACTATTTACGTCATTGAAGGGCTTGAAGGCTATCCATGCTACAAATGATTACATAAGGAGGGCCTGCTCATCAACTAATTACCGCATTCATGATCTGCTGAAGACATACATTTTAGCAACAAATTTCTAATGTGAATAGCATGAAGAATCACTGAAAAAATTAATTCATACATATTTTTCGGGGAAACAAAGTTTAGTGTTGTAATTATTGATGGAGTTGCAATGAGGGTGTGTTACGATATGGTTTTATTGAAATGGTGCATTTGAAAAAGTTCATTTTGTTGATGAAGTGTGGATTTAAATTTACATTTGATCAACTACATGTATGAGTAAATTACAACCCCAAATGAGCATGATGTACCTGAGTTGAGTCTGAAAGCCTCATTACAACACTCATACATGTACGATACTTATGGATAATGCCAGTTTTCAGGTCATGGCCTGATTTCAGGCCCTGACACATCTCTATTTCATTTTTTTTCTGACTTCATATTTTTTCTGGCTTCATATTGTACAGTACATATTGAACTCCAACATGTTTGGACCTCTTTTCTGGCTCATCGGGAAAAAAAAGTATTCCTTGAAAAAAGGATAGAAATTACAAGATACATGATGTAAACTCATGAAAGTAAACAATAAATGCGACGTACACTACAGTAGTTGCTTTGGTGACACTGCAACATGTCTACTAATAGTACATTTAGTTGATCAAATGTAAATTTGAATCCACTCTACGTCAACAAAATCGTCTCCTTCAGCTTTGCATAATAGCAATAACACCCTCATTGCTACCAAATCAATAATCAGTCTTTGCAGAGCGTTGCTTGCAAACAATAGCCGTTGTTAAGAGGTTAAAAGACATCCTGAAAAGGTTATCATTGTCAGTTCAATGAGGTTCATTAAGAGACCCTTCCAGGAGGGACATCTTGGGGTATTGTTGTCCTGTATCAAGAATGGCATTGACTTCCCATATGAGGGACAGGTCCTAATGTGCCTGGATCATTGTGTAGCTTAAATTGCAAAGATGATTTGTAGGGGGAATGACTGGTACAGACAGCCGGGTGATGAAATATTGACAGTTTTGGTCTTTAGGGTGCAGGGAGGATTCGTCTCGCCCATTGTCTTCAAGAATCTACTTTGCCTCAGGCTATGGTGTGGATGCACTTTGAAGTGGGTCTATGCCCTTATGTGCTATTGTTACAGGCTATTATGACTTGTTTTGCCAGTTAAGAGTTTTCTTAATGCCTACTTTGTTAAATGAGATCACGAATGCTTGAGCAGCCTTGAAGAAAATCATTTCTCACTTCCTCAAACTTACATGTACACTGTACAAATGTATATAAAGTTTGTGATCGGCTTAGCCACATGGCATACAATTGTTCAATTTCCAATTTTGTAAGCGCTTGCATTTAGAAGAAAGAAAGCATTGAGATCGAGAGAAATTAAGAGATACAAAAGATAGATAGATATAGATAGATAGATTGATAGAGTTAGTCGAGAGAGAGGTCGAGAGAGAGAGAGAGAGAGGTAGAGAGAGAGAAAGAACGAAAAAAGAGGGGTAGAGTGCCATGTCATAAAAGACTTCATTAATAATGATAGTATTCCACTTTTTATATAGTGCTTAACATTTACGATGTCTCTAAGCGCTTTACAGATATTATACCCCAGTCATTGCATTCAATACTTTTCCACTCCCTGGCGAGCATTCCAGCCAGGCGTTACTTGATGCTCAAAAACTGTTTGACCAACAATGACGGTCGCATCCTTTCATTGAGGAAATTAAGTTCACAGGGCATTAATAGTTAAAATCCTTCAGAGAGGACTAAATGGCATCAGTCCACTCACTTGCAAGATACTGTATGCAGGTTTTTTTCAATCGTCAAACCAAACCAAAAGTCTCCTCAGAAGATCCATCTCTCTTGATATTTTGACAGAATCATTTCTTATTCATCAGAGATTTTTGCACCTGCAAAGTCCTGTCTTTTGAAACTTGTTTTTCTTATTAATTGCTATAGAAGTACAGTATCTATGCCGCTATACATGCATGGGTGAACTCGCACCAAGTTGCCATTGAGGTGGGGGAAGTGAGCTCTGCATGTGAAGTCCGTTTTATTGATTTCTTTTGTATTGGGATTTTATAGGGTCTATGCAAGGTTACAGTTAGATGGTCATCAATTGGGTATTTAAAATAGCACCCTATAAAATATACTGTAGAATTGTGCACATCAGTAAAGTGTGTTTTATTTTCCCTTTTATTTTTTATTTTTGTATTATGATTACAGTTCAAATGTCATTTTATAGAAATTTTCTTGACTGTATGTAGCTAACTTTATGCATTCATAATTTCATACTACATAACAATGATTTTACACGTACAATGTATCTCAACTCTCACTGAAATATAATCCAGCCTCGGGCTTGTGTATGGATAGATTTATTTACTTAATGTCATGAATAGTTTGTACAAAATAGGGTGTTGCTATATATCCTAAAGGTTTATTAAAGTGCAACTAAAACAAAATAAACATTGTCTTTTGAAGTGAAAGTTTATAATAACTGTTTCTCTCTCTCTCTCTCTCTCTCTCTCTCTCTCTCTCTCTCTCTCTCTCTCTCTCTCATTTGGACCATGCAGATATGAATCACTATGTATCAACGGAACCCAGAGTTCTAAACATCACCAACAAGAATGAGGACCTGGGCTTCACTATCAAGGGAGGCTCAGAACAGGGTACTCCGGTCTCTGTGAGCAGGGTGGAGAAAGGATCAGAAGCAGGTTAGTGACTGAGAACAAACCTCTCTATAATGACCACACACCTCTATAGAGAACCGAAGCTGTGACAACATAAAAATCTATTTTGGGAATTTCTCAATTATTTCTTCATTTTCCCAAAGAGCATCAAAAATAATGTCCAAATGTCGAAAACCAATTGAATATGTTAAGTATTGGCTGAGATATGACCATCTGAATGAATATATTTCCAATATATAAAAACTCAGTGTTACATCGCTCTGGCTCGTAATGTTATGAACCAGAGCACTATAACACTGAGCTCCCATAGGAAATATGTTTATTCAGATGGTAATATTTCAGCCAATACTTAACCTATTCAATTGGTTTTCGACAATTGGACATTATTTTTTATGCTCTTTTGGAAAATGAAGAAAAAATTGGGAAATTCAATTTTTTTTTTTTTATGATGTCTCAGCTTTGGTACGCACCTCTTTAGAAAGGTCACCTGTCTTAGAAAGCAATGGAACAAGTGGCAGAAATGTTTCATTAACTTCCTAGGCAGTGTGTTCTAAGATAGTAATGATTTGATTACCTACAGTGTACATGTATTTTGATGTGAGGAGTCGTTTTAAATGGAATAATCGTGAAGTTTTGAGGGTCATTTACCTTTGAAGCCTGTTCATCCACATACGGTATCCCTTTTTTCTGTGTTTGGGGTTTTTAAAAGCTCCAAATAAGTGTTTGCTACTCTATAAATTCAATAGATTACATCTTTTTAATGCAATATTTAACAAATTAAATACACTAATGGGATGGGAAAAAATTTGTGTGATCCATTTTTGGTAAATAAAATACATGAAACCAAACAGACAAATGAATCTGTATAGCCCGATTTATACTATCACATTAACACTACAGTTCAATCAATGAAATAATTTCATATTCATTCATTACCATATTATTCTTCAAAAAGACTAATGAAGTATCATTGAAAGGGTGTACTCATTTCAATATGTGCAATACTTGTATTTTCCTCTTGATACAATTCACAGCATATTATACAAATGGAATAAACATATTGAAAAAGGCCTTGATAGACCATCGTATCATTAAGAACTGCATTTACGATACATCAATGCTACCATCTCTTTTAACTTAATTGGCTGCTGATATTGGAGCTTGTAATATGCCCAAACTCTATTAATAATCTCACATACTGTAGATATCAGTGCACGCCATTTACACTCTCCCTCTTCCTATATATATTTTAGCGCCCTTTCAATTTCAAAGGTACCAATTTACTGATTGACAAAGTGGAAAAGATAACGATGCTGCTACTGGTAGTACAATCTATTTTGACTGATACATGCCTAGAAAAGAGCCTGCTATTTTGACATCCTTAATTCATCTGCAGAAAGACCACCTGTCTATGAGTTCACTTTGTATGTGTCCATCGATACTACTTGTACACTGTTTATAGATTTTACTGAATTAAAAAAATTCACAGGAGCAGTGAGTTACATCACCTTCATGTATGTAGCTCTAGAATGCTCCAGATGAGCTTTGGAATATCAAAAAGGTGACAGTGCATTCACAGTTGCTGCTCCCAAACTTGAATAAACTACCCATATTTCTATGTAACTATCAATTTCTCAATCCTGAGAAAAAAAATCAATTAAAAAAATATTAATTAAAAAAAAATAAAAAAAATAAAATAAATCATCAAAGTCAAAATCAAAATCATCTTTTCTATAAATTGTAAAGCGCATTTGACCATGTACCGGTATACGGAAAGTGCGTTGTATACATTGTTTACAAATAATGTATTAATACATCAAGGTAACTGAGTAAATCTCAGTTTTGCGACAGTAAATCTCCTAAAGATCTCCTTCTAACCAATTTTTGTTTACACAATGTGACAAGTATGCATGTATGAACCCTTCTCAGTCACTACCGTATTTAGTCTGAATCAAACAATTAACATGAGTATTTTTCTCCATTTTCATTCAGAGAAAAATGGACTGGCAGTTGGGGATGAGATCTTAGAAGTGAACAACATTAATTTTGAGGAGATAGCCATCAGCAGTGCTATCCGAGTGTTACAGGGGTCTAAGAGGCTTCGAATGACAGTCCAGCACAACCCTGCACTAGCTCAACATTCACAAAGAAGACAATCAAAAGAGAAAACAAAATGGTGAGTAGCTAACCAGTGGGTGTTTCACGTAGACTAAGATCAACTTTAAGAGAGACCAAAGTGTGATGAAATGTGTGTGTTTGTATTTTTTCAAATTTTCTTTAGTCCTGAACCGTTTTTTCTCTTCCATTGCATTCCAACAGACTTGAAATTTGCTCATTTTGTATGTGCATGTTTTTATGTGATGGCTTTTAGTTGCAGTCTCCTTTTTAAAGGATGTACAGACAGACAGAATTAATTTTCCAAATTGCTAAAGCTTTGCAAGATAGGCCTTCATAAATTTGAGTTGTCAAACTCAGCATATTGTGCGACTATCTTATTCTTCAAAGGAAGACATAATGTGTACACCGTTGATCAAGCATCATTTACCCTCTAACCTGTCATGCACTTGTGGAGGCAGTCAAAATAAACACTGGAAATAATAATTTAGGTGTATTTCAGCAGAAAATAAACAGACATTTCTTAGAATGTAGATAAGGGTTATTTATTTGCCCCATCCCACAGGTTCCTGTCCCGGAAAAAAAGATTATTAATGAAAACACTGATAGTCTCTCTCTCTTTCTCTCTCTCTCTCTCTCTCTCTCTCTCTCTTTCTCTCTCTCTCTCTCTCTCTCTCTCTCTCTCTCTCTCTCTCTCTCTCTCTTTCTCTCTCTCTCTCTCTCTCTCTCTCTTTCTCTCTCTCTCTCTCTCTTTCTCTCTCTCTCTCTCTCTCTCTATTCCCTTTCATCGTCTCACTTTCTCTTTCTCTATAGGTAATTTGTCAATGAATGATAAAGAACATTTGTGCATAAAGTGAATCCTTTTACCTTAAATTAATTTTCAGATCTTTAATGATTACAATTTTTTTTTTTACTACGATCTCTCTTAATTTTGTAAAAATTAAGTATTCAAACATTTATAGACATGAATACATCTGGGACTCTAATCACCAGAGTATACAAAATGAGAAATTTCTTTGAAATTGTTACATTTTCCCATGTTATTTTCCCATGTGTTTAGGTTTGATACATACTCTCGATCAAGAGGCCCACCGGCAGGCCTCAATACATCTCCTCCTTCCTTGAACAGAGAGAGGAAAGTCATCATTCAGCTGGATGAAAAGCACAGGTTTATTGGCTTCAACATACGAGGGGGCAGCGAGTATGGTCTGGGAATATTTGTTTCCAAGTAAGTTTCTTGATTTATTTTCTCAGAGACGAGGATTCTGTCTCATCATTAAGGTGATAAGTTCATTCAAAGCAATTAGAGCTCCTTTTTCCATAATTTGTCAACATCAATAAGAAAAGAAATATAAAGGAAATTATCAAAAAGGAGTTGTCAAGGATTGCAAAAGTCTAGTGTTGTGATTCTATTATTATCGTTTATGAAACTTTTGTGAGTCTAGATCAATCTTCAAGGTTTCTGATAGTGTTACACTACAAGCCCTATTAAATCCTTTAAAGAAATGATCCAGTAAACCGCTTCTAAAAACAGCTGCAGCAAAATTTATAGTTTTATGTGTATAACAGGTTTATTTATGAATGGCAAGTTGGTTGAAAATAAAAGTACTTGTGCGCAACAAAGGGTTCCAAACCCATAGAGTCATTTTTACTTTCAAAGTCGTTTTTATTTTTCAAGGTTGTTAAAGGTATCATATTTGATCGACGCTTAATCATTCCATGTCTTTACTCTGACCTATTGCAGAGTACCAGAAGATATTAGTTTCTGGCTTTAAAGTGTTTCACTACAAACCCTATAATCATCTCTTGACTCCTTATCAACAGGACTGACAGGGGTGGTATGGCAGAGTACTACAAGATACAGGTTGGGGATCAGATCCTATCGGTGAACGGGACTAGCTGTGAGAACATCTCCCATGCTGCGGCCGTTGACCTCATCAGGGGTCAGAAGAGACTGGTCCTGATCGTACGTAGCATGGGACCAGACAATCTTAATCAAAGCCAAAACAGTAAGTCATGATGTGTTGGAGATCTTATATGTGCTATCATCTTTTTGATATATTGTCTGTTTGAACCCAGAAGGGCATTATAACTCCACCATATAGTCTAACACTTTATTCAATTCAATTCAAATTCAAATTCAATTTCGGTTTATTAATATCAACATATACAATGTACAATGCAGTAGTCCAGGGACCAATAATGCAATGTTTACATAAAATGTGCATAAAAACAGGAATGATCATATAAATGTATAATAAAAATGATAAAAGATAAAAAAAAAAAAAGTTAAAATCATTGTTCATACCTAAAGTTATATACATACATAAATGAATGATAATAGATGGATGATAATAAATGTTGAACCAGTTATTGCAAGTACAAATAATCTTTAAATTAAAAAATTATTAAAAAAAAAAAAAAAAAAAAAAAATATATATATATAGTGAGAGAGAGAGAGAGAGAGGAAATTATTATATTGCAATTATTTAATGCCCTTCTGGTTCTGAACAGATAATATGACAGATATTGTAACTCTGAAGTTGCCCTGTGATGGCTCAAAATAATATGTAGGTCTTGGAAAAAGTGCTACAAAGTATATAAATTATGACTAGCATCATTTTTCATGATTCCATTCAAATTCAATTCAATTCAATTCAATTCTGGTTTATTGTAAATAAAAACACAGAATAAAAAGTCTGGAGACTCATACAATGCAGTTTACAAATTATAAATACATACAAGAATAAAGAAATCAATACTTTTAGCAATATTTATATTAATTACTGATTCTAATGAACTAAACATGTAATATCAATCAATAGTTCTTGAAATCAGCTCTGATTAGTCCGAACATTGATAAACATATGAATCTGGGTAATATAGACACAGGCAGTAAACTTGCCCTGGGTCCTAAGATGTGGGATATGGGCGACTATTCAAGTGCACTTGAGTACACGTACTGCACACTAGGTCTACATGTAATACACAGAGAACTGTCATTTGTAGAACTTCAGCCCTGTCTTTTCATCCCCAAATCCTCTCATTGTGGTTGTTCTTACAAAATGTCTTTCCAGCATCTATTCAACCATTGAAAAAGAATCCCTTTGTTCTCTTGTTCTTTAACTACAGATACCCCTATCACTCCTTTCCACTTTTGTACTTGAGGCATCTCTTTGTTTTGTATTCAAGTATTTGATTGCCAACACATGTTAATCCTGCCTTCACAACCGTACCAATCACCAAAACATGTTTTGTTCTTGATGTACATGTAAAGGGTTCCCATTACTATACTGTAAAGATATTTCTTCTATAAAGAGACATTGCAGTTTAAATACACTCCCAATGTTTAACTATAAAACGTCTTGTTGCGTACGCACTTGCAAAGAATAGGGCAGGGCCGGAACCTTAGTCTGTGCGTGCCCTATATGCAGGGTTTTATGGGATCCTCAATTTTCTTCTTACTCCTCAACCGATTTTTATGCTCATTTTAAAGTGTTTAAAATAGAATGAATTAAATGTGTAGAACTTGATTATTTTGAGTTCTACAGGGTCAAAGAAAATATTGGCCTTTCCACATACGGTAGGAATTTCATAACTGAGTAAAGATCATTGATAAAATGTCCAAAATTCTTCATATCTTCCAATTATTGACATCCAATAATTGGAACTCACAGTGAGGGCTTTGATTTTCAGTTGCCATTTCTGTAAATGTACAAATGTACCAAGATGTAACTGATGTTTTTAGCATTCTTTGAGATATGTACAAAAATTGTACTTACTTCAGATGAGTAGAAACGACAAAAAAATCTTTCTCCAGCAATTTATGCCTCCTAGTTAATTTTGCATATCATTTGATCATCTCCTGCAAACGTGACACATGTTCCTTTCTTGGTGTGGAGATTGTTATCCCGAGTTCCACTTTATGAAGATTTAACAGCACAAAGCATTTTTCTTAAATACCACTGACAGCCTCGAAAGTCTCACACACTTCTTAAATATATCAGCTCATGACAGTTTCAAGATTCACAATTTTATTGTCCATATATAATATAGAAATTTGTTTTCCATTGGTGTAAAATGTAATATGTAAAACATAAGATGATTTGAATTATTAGAACATTTAAACGGAGAGTGTTTTCCTTCGTCACTGCCGTTAGGAGAGTTGCTTATATTCCGCTTATACAGGATTTGTATTTTCACCATGCTCCACATGCCCTCTCTTTATTATTCGATCGAAAAATCTTTTCTTACATTCTAAAACTTACCTTACGTTTGAAATCACACCGTGGTCATTTGTGCTTCCTGTTCTGTAAATCACAAAATTGATCATGAAGAGATCGAGGCAAAATGGCGATCCGTGTAGTCTTGTTATTTTAAGGAATATATGGTCATAGAGGAAGAGTCATGTCACATGCGAACATTACTATCGCCATTGCTATAATTTATATTAAAATGTAGGTCCCGATTGCGAGTTTGGTTTTCAAAGAATATCACAATATAGACGTTTTCAATATCATAACAGTGCAATGTACATGTAGTCTCTTTTCTCTATTCCTGGAAAAATGAGTTCTTCGTCGCAAGTTCTATTTTGAGTAAATGTTGCGAAATTATAAATAGTGAACATGATAATGGTTTACAGGAATTCCCCATCCGATAGTTCACCTCCTCTCCTTGAAATGTGAGGGCGGTAGATACCCAATCCACCTTTGATTTTTTAATGTGTAGGCGGAAGTGTGAATTATCTTTTCCTAATTATTGTATCATTCTTAGACAAAAAAATGCAACGTCGGAGATTGTACAAGCAATTTTCTACAGTATGGTAGTTACCTCTTTTATCGACGATACTGTGTCTGTGTTGTCAAACCTAGGTTTGCAAGAACTTAGAGCTAAAACATCTTAATTAGTCGTAGAGATTATCCCAGAAGATACTAAGTTTAAGCATTTTTGTCTTCTTCCTTCGAGTACAGGGTACAACCTAATATGTACTGTGTAATATTAATTTTAGTGGTCGTTTATGTTAATGTTAAAATCAAACATTCTTGAAACCAAGAGGATGGATCTATACTCAACACATGATACATCTAGACATAAATTTCAAATTGAAGGAAAACTCCTTTTACTCCGAACTTAATAAATTAAAAAAATGTTGTTCTCTCTAATTGAAACAGAATCACACAGGCCACAAAGCACCACTCCCTCCATGATTAGTGCAGATCAGCAACAACAGAAATCACCCCCATTTCCTAATGGACCGGTCCCTCCCATCCCTAAGCAGAACAAGGACTGGCTGACCAGAGCACCGGCTCACGGGGGTGTGCAACGTCTTGATGTGAAGGACATGAAAACCAAGCAATCTCTTGGAGAGAATGTTCCAGTTATAATGTCAGCAAGGCAGAATAACCAGGTTTGTTGACCTATCAAATATACATTCATTTTCCAGGAGTTTTCACATATGTTTGTCAGATTTGTTCTTATTTTCTTATCAAATGATTTGATTATAACAGGGCCCGTTGCACAAAACTTACCATTGATGGTAACTTTGCCATCAATGGCAACTACCATGGTTACAGGGCTCAACAGCCAATCAAAATCAAGGTTTCCATGGTGGTTACCATTGATGGCAAAGTTACCATCAATGGTAAGTTTTGTGCAACGAACCCCAGGTGTACAACTCAGAGAATATTTCTGTTCTGACCATCATTGTGTGATCAATGTTTTAGTATTTTGCTTGCATTATATCTTGACTGTATTACCAGACATTTATATATTTTCCAGACATTGCTTTACTATTTTATCCTCTTTAAAATTGTAATATATTCTCCTATGTTTCATGAGATAGATTCCTATTCCTTGTTAGTTCTTTACAAATCTTTTGTTGTTTCGAAGCTACATTTGTCATCTTATTCTGTCTTTCCCAATGCTCCTCTTTAATTTTCTCTCCCTCTGTAAAATTTTTAATAAATATTCTTTAATTATGAAATAGATTTAATCGTACCCTATGACATGATAGTTCTTCAAGAATCATTTGCTGATGTTTCAGAGCTAGATGTGCGATATTAATCTTTTCTACATCGTGGTATAGGCATCAACTACATGTACATTATCTCATTGCAAAGTGAACATGGCATGATACTACTGTGAACATTATTATATCTCTTGAACTGTTTACTTCCCATTACATCCAGGGAGGTCCTCATCTCAGTAACACCACAATCACGGACCATCTCCCCAGCCGCCCTCCCTCTGCCCAATCTCAGCAATCTACCCAGAGGACACAGCCATACCCCCAGCCACACCCCCAGGCACACCCCCAGGCACACCCCCAGGCACACCCCCAGGCACACCCCCAGCAGCAGCAGCAGCAGCAGCATCTCAGACAATCAACGCCCCGTCCACCCCAGCAGATGGTAGCGGGCAGGGGAGGGGACAGCGGGGGTAAGGAGAAGAAACGAGGCCTTGGCAGGTCTCTCAGTGTCAAACATCCAGGAGGTAAGAAATGAGATTGATCTTTGTTTGAATTCCATGCTGTTGGTTGAGATTCATATCTTTATACTTAGATTTACAGTTTTAAATTACAGTCATTTTTACAAAAGATAGTCTTTCAAGGGCGAGAAGTATAGAGAAAATAATACAATAGCCAATTTAGCTTGATGTTACCCAGTTTGTGTAGTAAAATATTCATGTGAACTACGAAGATACACCAAATAAAACAAACATTGAATTTAATTCAACACCACAATCTATCGTGTATTTTTTTTCAAATTTCAAAAAGCAACTCCTTATATGTGAATCTTTCAAGCTAATTGCTTGTATTTGAAGAAAAAAAGTGAAAGAATTGTGTATTTTTAAAAATCCCACATATAAAATTTTTGAATCATTTTTCATTTTTTGGTAACAGAGAGGAGACTTCCAGTGATGGAGCAGAGTCCCAAGTCCAAACAGGTCAAGGTCAAACGAAACAAGACATTCCGTGCCCTGTTTGGCCTCAAACCAAAGGTCAAAGGTCACGAGAAGGAGGAGCACCATGGAGGAGGAAACCGGAGGAGCCCTGAGAGGGAGATCCTTCCTCCTCCCTCACCGAAGAAGGTAATTGACCAGGAGATCCTGGCGGAGTCGTTTGAAGAGGATCTGGCTCGGGTGGATCCCATCGGCCAGGAGGCAGGAGCTAATGAAGAGGATCTAGGTGTGGTGGGGGTGGAGAAGGAGGGCAAGAGACATAGAAAAGGCAAGTTTATTTGGTTCACGTTATGACTGAAAAGTAATTGAAAACAAAATCTGTTTTTGTTTGTACCCAATTATGTGTACTGCGATTTGTTAGTGTATGTATTTACTATTTTACATTTTCAGGTAGAAAATAAGAAAAGAATTCAGTTGTATCATCAAAAAATAATCTACAAGATATACAAAACTAATTGTTGAGTTCTTAAAAAATCCTGATAACTTTCATTTCAGTTAAGTTATGGTTCTGATATCTCAGTAGCTATTACATGTAGGTATGCATCATAGTATTGATAAGTAGAATTGATAATGTACCATAGGTATAAAATTGCATTGAACTTCTTGGATTTAAAGCCCCACTGTACTACCTGTAGCTACTTGCTCCCTCTATATAGAAAACAATGCCTAAGCGGTGACCATTGGTCCCCAAAATCCTCTTTTTCTTATGTTAATTGAGAGATGAGTTGATGAGATAGCCACCTGTCAGTGACCACGCTAGGTGGTCTAATCCCTGTATGCCAAACTAGTATAGATGGGATTTAAATCTTGTTGATAAAGTGTATTAATAGAACTACCCACTGCAACGGATTTACAAAAAAGTGCCATTAGTCAAGAAACATCCTTCCTAAGCTTGTACATCTCTTGTTCTGTATTTCTCCAGGGAAGAGTAAGATGACCGGTATCATTGCAAGTTTCCGCAAGACCAGGCCGGAGGGCATCGTAAAGAAGCGTCACAACATTGCATTACCTCCTGATGAGGAACAAGAAAGACCGCCCTCTGCTGACCGTCCTGGATCAGCGACCAGCTGGGCTTCAAGGAAAGATAGTTTAGGGGAATCACTCAGTAATAGTAAGTCTTTGATATTTCTCATGTGTGCAGTACTAAAATGAAGTAGAGATTAAATTTCCTCCAGAATCATCTGAGAGAATCAAGTCTTAGTATTAAACTTGATTATACAGCAAAACGTGCTTTAGTAACCACCTGTATTGAAAGCCCACCAGCTTATAAATGTAATTTTTTTTGTTTTGCTTGAAATATGTTTCTCATTGAAACCTGTATTAAAGTTTACAGGAAACCTCCTCTTAGAGAGACAATATATTCATTTCTCTCCTTTAACTTGAGTAGTTTCACTGTCCATGTATGTAATTGGTGTCAAACATGTACATGTAATTATCTAATGGGGGAAACAGGCCTTTAACTCGAATTTAAATCGTGCAACTTTGACATTAATATTGATTTTACATCATAAATTTGAAGATACCATTATGTTTTTTAGCACTTCCATACCCCAACTTGTTATAGGGACTGTTGTTCGTTTTAATTTATTGATTTAAACTTGCCATAACCCCTCCTTTAAGCTTTGATGAGTCTCACAATTCACAATGTATATCGTCCTTTTTGCAGGCTCCCATGGCAGTCTTGGGAAGCAGAAGGGTGCTTTCATGGCCGGAGCAGGCACACAGATAATGCATGCCCATGCAGCCTCGGCTAGTCAGATGCCCATACTCTCAGAGGTTATCAAGAAAACACTCAATGAAGATGAGGCTGCTGCTGTTCACAGGCATATCAAAAGGGTGAGACATAATTTGGGCTGGAGTCTGTGTAAAATAAGTGTTGTATCACTATATTAATTGAGAGCTGAGTTGATGAGATAGCCACCTGTCAGTGGCCTCGCTGTGTGGTCTAATCCCTTCTGGCTGAACTAGTACAGATGGCCCTTAAAGGATGCTTGACCAGAAATTTCATGAATTTGTCAAGTGCAAGTACAGAGGGGGAAGTCTAAATACTATTCTACCAGCAAAATCCTTTTAAGAAGGGGGATATATCAGGGTAAGGAGCATATTTACAATGCAATGCTTTACATCCGATTAACATGATATTTTATTCGTTATCTTTAATTCTGTGTCATATGCACAAGTTAAGACACTGTATGACAGTTGATGCTTATAGAAGCAATCTACTTCCTACACAATTAAGGTTATTGTTCAAAGAAATTATGTAAGAGTGGGCAAGTTGGTATCCTAGTACCCAAAGACTCTACAAACTTATAGCTCGGGATATGATACATTTTGAAGAAAGGCAATTCATTTTCTAAATGTAGATGATGGAACTCTGGTAGGACAATTTTCAGATTCAGAATATTGAATGATAGCGATGTCTGTGCTGGTGTAATGCCCATTGCATTTGTGAAGAAGGGTACTGATAAGTCAAACAAAACTTGAATTAACGGTTATAGCGAAAGTCTCTTTCCGCTTTGAAAGTGCTTTGGAAACCAAGACTTCTTAATTTTCTTTATATTTTTTTAATTCACAGTATCATACAGAAGGTGATGTTGATTCTCTTGTCACTCCGCTGCTGGCAATCCTGGACAAACCAGAGAAGACGGTTCTCTTACGAGAAGTCAGGTCAGTAAACCAGTCTGTGTAAAAAATACTTCTGTGTATAATATTTGATTTTCTGTGTAAAATAGTCACAAAAGCGGATCCCAGGCCAAATTTGAAATGGATCTATAAAAGAGGCCTGGGTCAAATATTTCCTGGTACATACAAAGCTGAAAGCAAACCTGAAACCAATATATTAGAAAAAGCTTAATGTTCGAGGATGTTTTTCACGCTCTTGTACATATTGCTTTATATACAAATATAACTCACTTTCAGTATGGACTGGGTTAGTGGTTGCACAGTGCCACCCCTCCTAATGATAACTCTTAACTGCTTTTTGTTTGACAGGGGAGTGATAGCACCCTTAGACCTGGCTGTCTTTGACTCTATGGTGTCTAGGAGAGAGCTGGAAGCAAGGAATTACCTCAACGCCAAATCAGGTAGGTTAATTCACCTGATAGTCTAAATCTGCTTTAAAGATACTATGTCCCTTTTGCAGCCAGCATCAAATGCTGCAGAACTTTGCAGGAATTACGAATATGTCATGTATGTCCTTTCTGTAAAATTTAAACATTAGCAGTGTCCAAGTATTCAAATTATGCAAGGAAACCCGTTAACCTTCTAGACTTCACTGTCAGACACTATTAATGACTGACTGAAATATTTTTTTCTTTGGTAATAACATACATAAAATGAGCTGTTACAGGTACATGAGCATTTTTTTACATCAATAAAATTGAACTGATTGAATCTTTGTGCAGCACAAAACGTACGACCATTCGGTAAAAGGGTCTGAAAATCAGACTATTACTTAGATGATTGCAATCACTTAATTCGATTCGACAAAGACATTGCCAAACCCTTTCGTTTTGAGGGAAGTTCTAAGTTATTATTATCTTTCAAATGCAGGTGCAATTGAACTTTTCATTTTTTTGGGCTGGCAAATGGCAAATGGGACATAGTACCTTTAAATGACCACCTGTACAGAAAGGGCACCTGTCTGTGAGAAGAACATTCATAGTTTTTAAAATGAGACAAATCGATCAGATTGTGTGTAAAAGAAAGGGCAAGTGTCCATGATCAGGGAGTCACTTTACATGAAATTAAAGGTATTTCCATATTGTTATGGCCAAATCAGTGACTATTTTAACCTATTTTAGCTGTGAACTTAAAACCTGTTACTAGTATGCATCACTGTAGGGAGACAAATGATCATATTTTGAGAATGTTGGTTTAAATGTCAAGGGTTGTAGTGATCAATTGACATATGAGGCAAAGATACCCAATCCCTTTAAACATGTCTTCTTTATTTTCTTTTGATGTGCATTCTACAGGTTCTGTATCACCAAGGCTATCATACGACAGAAAGGCTGTCCATGATCAGCTTGATTCAAACCAAGCAGGTGAGAAAAGTACTTGAACACCACAAACTTTTACAACTTAAAATGTGAATGCACTACTTATAGCTACTTGCGCCCTCTATATAGCAAACCATGCCTAAGTGGTATCCGTTGGTCCCCCATGATCCCCTTTTTCTTATGTTTCTTGAGAGCTGATTTAATGAGATAACCACCTGTCAGTGACCATGCAGGGAGGTCTAATCCCTCCTGGTAAAACTAGTGCAGATAGGCTTTAAAACTTCTATGAAATTTATAGCATCTCGTCTTCTAGTAAAGAGGTCAAGAAATGCAATTTTTTTTCTGCACTATTCCTTTCTATATATAAATATATTCAATATTGTTAGGAAATAATAAAGGAACATAAAATACCTGAATGACAGAACTTATTTTTTATTGCTAAAGCCTCACCTTTATATACTTTGAGATACATTTTTGTTTAGAAAAAGACTTTGTGGCCCGAATTCACAAAGCAAGGTTTGAGCTCAGACCAAGGTTTGACCTCAAACCTCCTTTTGTTTCGCCAAACCTCCTTTTGTTATTTACAAACCTGGTTTGTAAATAACAAAGGGAGGTTTGGCGAAACAAAAGGAGGTTTGAGCTCAAACCTTGGTCTGAGCTCAAACCTTGCTTTGTGAATTCAGGGCCTATGAGATTAAAACAAAACAAACAAAAATCAGAAAAAAATCATCTTGAACAAGTTATATTGTTTAATATCAAGAACATTCATTTTTAAAGGTTGTATGAAAATCATCATTTATGTCTGAATTGAAGCAAATGTTTTGTGATTTTACAGGTCCCTCTAATAATAACGAAAGGAAAACAGATAAGCTGAAGAGACATCAAAATGAGTTAGACAGACTGAGAAAACAAAGACAGGAAGAGGTGAGACAGGCCAAGCTCACAGCCACCGGAAGATCCTTAGACGTTGACCCTTCACCCTACGGACAGATTGGTTACCCTGCGAACCAGAGTCGACATGGAAGCTTCGACACCTACTCCCAAGGAGAGAGGAGAGATCAAGCCCCATCCTCGTTCTCCACCTTCAAGGGGGGTGTGGCTAGTGGCAGTGGTTCTGGAGGGGGTAGTCCCGCAAGTAGCATCTCGGATGGAAGCCTCTCCAAGAAGACGGCCAAGAGGGTCCTCATCAACGCAGCTCCGCAGATCATCAGGACAAACTCCACCGGGGATGATGTCTCCCCGCGCAGTGACGAAGTAGACGGTGTCAAGGACAATGGGTTTGAAGATCGGTTCGGGAGGGGGAGAAATGATCATGGGTCTGGATGGGACCCCTATGAGACAATACCAATCGACAGGCTGGGTGATGAGAATGGTGAATCGCCAAAGATACAGAATAATGAGTTTGCGATGAGGGGACAGGTGGGTCAAGATCCCGGGGCGATGAATAGGGATGATTTTGATCCTCCATATGCGACTATCAAGACTAACCCATTGACTGGGCATGCTCATGATACTACCGATGCGAATGAGAGTGATCATGATAGCGTGGATTCCGATTACAGCGTTGGTAAGAAGAATGGAATGTACCGCATCATGGGCAGCGATACAGACGAGAACTGGGACGATCGGGGTTCACCATCAAGTCCTTCTAAATCTATGCCGCACAAGCTGAGCCCCATCCCTGCTTCCCCGCCCTCTCCCAGAATCATCGCCCCCACCCCGCCCTCGTCCCCTCTCGCAGCCAGCCAGAACCTTGACGTTCTCCTCCAAGTCCGGCGAGACCAGGTCTCGACCCCGAACCACCGTGACGGGACCAGCTCCAATCGCTCCAGCGGAAGTAGCTCTGATGATCCTATCTATGCCCAGGTCACTAAAGGTGCAGCTAAGACGCCTGCTAACTTCTTGGATGTGAGGGATTATGTGGACAGTGCCTCAGAGTCTGAGAGCGGTGGTAAGAGAGTGAGCTTCAGTGACTTCAATTGCTCACCAAAACCCCCAAGGAAAGGCATACTGTGAGTATCAATTATAACATTTGAGGATTGTTTATATCACCTTTAATGATCTCCCTCTCTGTTTGATTATTCTTTAGAGTGAAAGAGATGTGGACAGGTTTAGCGGTTAATATTGTACAAATTAATATAAAATCTCTTAAGTTTGTACTTTGTGCACCTGTAATTTTCTTGCTGTTATTACTTATTGGAATAATTTGATCAAACAAACTGGCCATTTTGCATCATCGTCTTAATCTGATCGGCGTGATGAGCGGACGTGTTATGACCTAGCTCTCTCCAACAATGAGCTAAACTGAGCTATACTGGAAATATTACCTCGAAAACCTCGAAAACAAGAACTGTTTATCGTTACATGGACTACCGCTTGTAGAAATTGGACCCAAAACCCTTGATTTACCAGCAAAACATCAGTAAAAATGCCTACAAGATCAGGAAAGCCAAGACGAGAAGCTGCAGCAAACAACGGGACACACCCAACCATTGTCCCTACCCAAGGTGCCGTGGAGAGCCCACCAGCTCCCGCTGATGTATCGGGCGGTACAAAGGAACCCGGTAAACCGGCGCCAATTCACGCATCGGGAGATCACGTGACCAAGCTACGAAGCCCCGCGGCGCCAGAATCTACTTCCGTAGAGCCCGATGCTGAACTCAATTTAGCCATTCGGCAAGTATTAGAAAGTCTTCTCAAAGACGACGAATTTGTGAATCAGCTCACTCGAACAATTCAAGGAAAGCTTCTGAATGATTTAAAGGAGTCAATTTGTCAAGAAGTTTTGGACTCGTTGGAATTTAATTCTGCAAATCAAGGGGATGTGATGGCGGCGATGAGAAAGGAAATAGACGAATTAAAGGAAGTTAATGATGATGCTGAGCAGTACTCCAGACGTACATGCCTTGTGATAAGTGGTGTACCTGAGAGGATGAATGAGAATACCGATTCCAGAATCATACAACTCTGCAAGGAGGACCTCGGTGTCGATATCAAGATGGATGACGTCGAACGTAGTCATCGACTTGGGCAGCAGAAACCCCAAAGCGACGGATCGACGAAACCGCGCATCGGGACGACCAACTATAGCCACACACCCAGGAATATCATCGTTAAATTCAATAGCTATCGCACCCGAGAGCAAGTCTACAGTGCACGATTCAAGCTAAAGAATCTTAGCGATGAGAATAATCACCATGTCTACATCAATGAAAGCCTCACTAAGAAGCGGAAAGAACTACTCTGGAAGGTTAGAAACAAATTCAAGAAAATCATTGATAAGACATGGACACAAGATGGACGTATCTGCATTAAACTGAAAGAAGGAAAAGGAAGAGTGAATGTCACAAGAGAGAGAGACTTAGACAAACTGAGCGTATATATGAGAAATTCTGCTATATAATTTGAACTGAGTGTTTGAGCCTCCACCCACAGATGGTGGTGCTGGAGAAATTATTCATGAACTTGTATGTACCTGTTTGCCATTTCGAAACAATTTACTCTTTGTAACAAAATGGAGGTATTATTAGAGATCAAAATTATCCCAAATTAATGCCAGCTTGGCTCATGTTGAGAATTTCAAGCGTTATATTCAATTTAATTGAGAAGGAGACGAACGTTATTTCAAATTAATTGTAATTATATTTCAAGTTTTTTTGTGTGTCCTATTTCATCATTTTAACCATGGTCAATGTCTTTCCTTGTAATATATGTGAGAAACCCGTAAAGTGTAATCAAAAAGCGCTACTTTGTACTAAATGTAACCAATGGATACATATTTCATGTGGAGATGTATCTTCCAAACAATATGATGATAAAACTGAACAGTTTCACAATTGGCAATGTACCAAATGTATTTTCCTAGAAATGCCGCTTTGGAATGTTGAGGATATAGTAAAAGATAGAAATGTGAGCTTGAACCATACAAATTCTGTTGATATAGACATTGACTTAAGTACGAATACCTGTACCTCTATAAATGACTTTCCAAAGGGTAAAGGATTGAAAATTGCACATTTAAATATTCGTAGTCTTAGAAATAAGGTGGATGATCTGCAATTATATTTGAAAGAAAATCCGTACGAAATTCTGACCTTGTCAGAAACATGGCTAAGTGAAAACATTTGTAATTCATTGTTACAAATTGATGGGTATCATTTTGAAAGACTAGATAGAGACGAAAAGGGAGGAGGAGTTGGATGTTTTATACAAAAAAATATATCATATATTAGACGACCTGATCTTGAAGACCGTGAGTTAGAAATTATGTGGCTAGAGATAAGACTACACAATCACAAACCAAAGTATCTTGGAGTTGTATATCGTCCACCTAACAGTAGAAGTGCTTTTTTCAATAACCTAGAAATTAATTTAGAAAATATATGTATGTTATCAAATGATATTGTAATATTAGGTGATTTAAATTGTAATATGTTAACTCAGAATAATCTTTCAAAGCAGATACATGATCTGAGTGACAATATGCATTTGTCTCAGCTGATAAGGACCCCGACACGTATAACCGTTAATAGTACAACCCTTATTGATCTAATTCTTGTGTCAAATAATTTGAAATCACTGGAGAGTGGCACACGGTCTATCGGTCTAAGTGATCATTTATTGATATACCTTGTATTGAAAGAAAAACCACCGCCCTCTATATGTTCTGTGAGTACCTACCGTTCATTTAGAAACTTTAATGAAATTTTTTTCAAAAATGATGTTAAAGATATAAACTGGGATAATTTGTACTTAAACAATCACAATGTTGAGAATATGTGGAATATTTTCAAATGTAAATTCAAAGACATTTGTGATCTTCATGCACCGTATGTCACAGTAAGAAAACGTTCTAGGGGGTCACCTTGGATTACCAACGAATATTTATGTATCGCAAGAGATAGGAATTATTTTAAATGCAAATTTGATAAACACAGAACTACAGACTACTGGGAAAAGTTTAAAGAATTCAGAAATAAGGCAAATGTACTGAACAAGAAGTTAAAGAAACAATATTATAAGAATCTTTGCATTGAAAATGGTAATGATATGAAAAAATCCTGGAAAGTACTCAAAGACTTACTCCCAAAGAAAGATGCCAATTCTGATCATAAAATTCTTGTAAATGACCAAATTGTAGTAGACAAAGAAAAAGTAGCAGAATTGTTTAATGAAAGTTTCAATAATATTCAAAGCCAACTAACAGGAGCGAATGATTCTCATCTCAATATAAATGCATTGCAAACATTACCGCAAACAGCACATGAATTCAAATTTACAGAGATCGAGGAATGTTTTGTATTAAAAGAACTACTCAAGCTTGATGTTTCAAAAGCAGTTGGTATTGATGATCTTCCTCCAAAGCTACTTAAAATAGCTGCCCCACATATTGTTAGAGTCTTAACAGTATTGTTCAATTGTTCATTGTCAAAAGGGTACGTTCCTCATGACTTCAAAGTTGCTAAAATAACCCCTATTCATAAAGGTGGAAACAAAATGGAATTAACTAACTACCGACCTATTTCCATTCTCCCCACAATGTCAAAGATATTTGAAAAAGCAGTGCACAATCAGATATACTCTTACTTAAACAAACATTCTTTGTTAAGTGAACGGCAATCAGGTTTTAGACCAGGGCATTCAACTCTAACATGCTTGACTGAAATAGTCGAAGGTATACTTGACAATATGGACAAAGGTCTGGTCACTGGAGCCATTTTTCTTGACCTGAAAAAGGCGTTCGACGTTATACCACATCCATTGATTATTAAGAAAATGTTATTGTATGGTATTGGGGGAGTTGAACTTGAGTGGTTCGAATCCTATCTATCTAATAGGCAACAATGTGTATTCTTGCAAGGGACTAAGAGTAATTTTCTAACTGTGAAATCAGGAATTCCACAAGGATCAATACTGGGGCCATTAATTTTCTGCCTCTATGTGAATGATATTTGTAACCTGCAACTCCATTCTAAGACAAAGATTTCCTTATATGCAGATGACACGGCAGTATTTCATCATGGAAAGGATTATAAAGTTTGTGAATACAATCTCCAAAAAGATTTTACCCGTATCTTGAAATGGCTAAAATACAATGGACTGTTTTTAAATGCAAATAAAACCAAAACAATACTATTTGGTTCCAAAAGAAAAATTCAAAATAATAATATTTGTATTCGTTACAGTGACAATGTACTCGACTCAGTCGAAAGTATGAAATATCTAGGTGTAACACTAGACAAAAGCTTAACATGGTCGTTACATGTAAACGAAGTTGTTAAGAAAGTATCGGGTACGATTGCCTGCATTAGACGTATACGCAATTATATTTCCCGTAAGAATCTTATTACATTATACTTTTCTCTTATCCTACCGCATTTAAACTACTGTAATTCAGTATGGGGAAATACTTCGAAACAAAATCTAACAAAGTTGCAAAAATTACAAAATAGATATGCACGATTAGTTCTTCGTGCCGAATATTTTACACCCCAAAATGTTTTAATGAGTAAATTGAAATGGCGGTCATTAGAGGAAAGAATTACATATCAGAAATGCATCTTGATTTTTAAAATCATAAACGACCTATCACCACCATATCTTAATCCATGTATAAGTAAAAGACCGATATTATATTCTACTCGTTATGCTTTAAACAGTCCATTATTCATTCCAAAGTGTAAAACAAATTTTAAAACGAAAACCTTAGCGGTTTCAGGAGCTAAAATATACAATAAATTACCCTATCATATTAAAAATTGTAAGTCGCTGCAAAGTTTTAAAAAGAATGTCAAAACCTTTCAGTTTCCCTTGTAAACATATTTTCACGTTAATTTGACCTTTATTTATTACATTTCATTCATCTAGTTTTTTCAATTTGATAGTTGTATTTTTTTTTCCTTATAATTTATTGTTAATGCGTGTTTTTCGTTACCTATGTTTAATTATTGTATATACCATGTATATTTTACCTTTGTATGTATGTTTTGAATTCATGTTATTATTGTACATGTTTTTTATGTGAATACAGGGCTCTCTGGGAGAGCAGGCTCAGAAATGAACTTGAATGAGACCACCCTGTTAAAATAAAACTATAATAAAAATAAAATAAATAATCATGTTAACTTTTTAACAATTTCTTTTATCATGTAAGAACTTCTCTCTATGTGTATTTTCTGTGAGATTTGCTAACTATAAATAAAATCGAAGCATAAGAAATCCCAAGCTGTAATGGCAAATAGTGTATATCAGTTCTAGTCGATACATCATTGAACTACACAATATATGTTTCCTTGCAATAACACCCGAGGGAACTGTTTCTCCCCCGACCAACTTACAATGTATGATAAAATTAAACTGTATGAAATGGACTGTAAAATATGTGTTCTATTTGATTCCCTACTTAAACGATAGACAAGTTTTGGAAATGCCCCCTCTCAAAAAATGAAATGGAAGCTCTTATTACCAATCATGTGAAAGAATATGTTTTGACTATTAAATATGTGATGATACAAATTTTGCCAGGAAACCGCCCACTTATTGATTTATTTGGTAAATTATCATATCTATCCGGCCTAGACAGATATCGCGAATGCACTTTAACATTGAACATTTGGGCATATATTTCTGCTTTTTTGCAAATTTAGGTTGAAGTATTGCCATCTAAACCCCTTACAACAATCTTTAAACAATATTGAATGGATATTTTGCACCCAAAACCCTTTAACCGCAATTTTACCACTACCGGTCTTTATCTTTAACAGTAAGAACAGCTTCAACCGTGATGAGCGTCCCTCTGTACCCATCAGGAATCCTCAGCTCTACCTGGACGATGACGACGACGACGAGCCTTCTCCCCTCAAGGAAATCATCAAGAGCAGGCGAGGCAAGTCACCCATCAAGCCTGCAGCTAGGAGAAGGATCGACGGCTTCCCGGGGAGGGAGATCTTTGAATTTGAGCTCTCCAAATCACAGTCCTCACTAGGTAGTTTACCATTTCATCATGTACTTTTAACTTCTTCATTTTATTGACAATTTATTTAATTTTTCTGACTGTTTTTGTACTCTTTAGAGGTGCTGTGGTTTTTCTTTAATTTAGTCTGGGTCTGTATAGGGCAGGGATAGCAGTTTTCAGGCAATAGCCTGAATTCAGGACCTGGTGAATTATTTTCAGACCATAGTTAAGGGTTATTTGTGTACAAAGTAGATCATTCTAGGTGATTTTCTGGCCCTCTGATCAATTCTAACTGGCATCCCTGATAGGGGTATCACTAAAGTACTAGGGTAATGGGGGGAGTGATTCCTTAGAAACGTAAATTGGCACAAATCAATTTTTCACATAATTAAACAATTACAAAACTTGATAAGGGTATGAATAATTTAGGTGTTAACTGTAGATATATTTGTGCACCGTATCTTGAACCTTGAAAGTGGTAATCCCTGTCAGCAGCTCCTAGAAAGTATTGCAGGATGAAGCCATTTCCATGCATGTTGATATCATCATCGCTTTAGAGAAGTAAAGTTTAAGTATTGCTCCAATTTTTAATGAAACATTGGTGTGATAGGTTTGTCCATCTATTTATTCAAGCCCTCCGAATAAAAGATATATATTGATAGGATCAGAAAGAATTTTTTTTGTCCTTTATCACAGTAAAATGTAATCTTCTGTGTTTCTATGATTTGTATTCTAGGACTAAGCTTGACCGGAGGAAAGGACTATAAGAACCAGCCGTATGTGAAGGTAGACAGGATATACCCAGGAGGTGCTGTGGCAGATGATGGCAATCTTACTGTAAGCTTTATAATATACAAAAGTAAAGTAAAGTAAAGTACATCTGAAAATATATACCCCTACCATTCTTCATAATTGTTTTTATAGCAGCGTTTTCCAACCTTTATTTTTAGTCACGGCTCCCTTTTAAGAAATACAAAGTTTCGCATCACCCAATCTTAAATTCATCATAGAAGATTCGCTTGCGTCACTCTGGCACCAGACGAGTGCCATGTATACACTTAAGGACACATTTGTTTTTAAATTTTGCGAGCGCGTAAAGCGAGCGAAACTGACATTTTTACAAAATGAAATTTAATATAACTAAATTTCTCTCGAGGCATGCTTAGAGATGTCTTGCAGCACCATGGTTGAGAAATGCTGTTTTATAGACTTATAAGGCACTATATAAATCAAATTATTACTATAAAATATCAATTCCAATTAATATAGGAACTTTCGATTAATGGCATCTCTTTGCAAGTCAGGGCTTACAATAGGTTTGAAAGTTGTGTGGATTAAGCTTTATGGACCTATGTCAACAGAATATTCCATTTGATGACTCATTACTGACTCCATTTTATTTTTCAGTCTGGTTGTGTGTTGGTTGGAGTGGACGGAGTATCCCTACTGGACGTCAGCCACCATCAAGCCATGGAGATCATCCGGTCAGCGTATAAGGATAAGAGCAAGAAAACCATGCAGATTGAGTTCATGGATGTCCTTTAACCCTATACCTGCCTTGGTAGACTAATGAAGCAGACAATCGACTGCCACTATAGACATTTGTCCTAACTTTATATCGGTCACCATCAGGCAATGGAGATCATACGGTCAGCGTATGAAATAAACAATGGACTGCCACGGTTAACTTTTGTCACACTTATATTATATAGGTATCATTTTACTCAAAACAATGTTCTTTAAGTCTTTAGCAGCTTCCGTCAACAAATGAAATAAACAATGGACTGCCACGGTTAACTTTTGTCACATGTACAATGCATATATTCCATCTACTTAAAACATTGTGGCAGTCTTGGTTTTTTTTCCACAGTGAATAAAGAGTAAAAGATCCATCTCCATCCCCTTATATCTTAACAACTTCATGAAACTTCCAAGATGCTAAATTAAGACAATCATGTGCGTGAATTTTTAGAGTGATTTTATAATTTTTTTAAAAACTTTAGAGAAAGACCTGATCATTTTTGTTTTTTGTACAGTGATGCTAAAGTTTCGCATCAACTTTGTACGTGAAAATAAATCAAGTGCTTTCTAATGTGTCATATGACTCTTTATTGCAATGAATTGTTTCACAATGAAAAAGGTCTGAATATCATGTGAGTAGTGGATTTTTTTACAATTCTAAATTCATCACTGAAACGGTGACAACGCATGCAGTTTTGTCAGAGGGTACGTTGACTAGGGAGTCGATATTAGTTTGTTGTACTTCAAACTCGACTGATAATCACTTCAATTTTTAGTGAATCATGTCAAAAGTGATTTAATCATACAATACAAAAGACACAATTATGGCACCTTGATTGAATTTGTTATCGTAGTCATATATATGCGTCATATATGTAGTCTATATGTTATGACTTCCAAAATAAGATCTAAAAAGAAAAGACATGCCAAAATGAGTTACATAGATTATACCAACAACTTGGCATTGTATGTGAAAGGTTTCTTTAGTTTTCCCCAAAGTATTACAGTATCTAAAGCCTTGAAGTATCTGACGTATTATTAAAGGCAATTGGAATTAGTCTATCTGGACAATTGCTAAGGGAAATTGTCTTTACCAGAGACGAAAAATGATAGTATTTGTTCAACTAAGCAGGTTGTAAAGTTCATATCTTTTAACAGCTGACTTTCGAAATCACCTCGCGTATCTATATTTAAGTATTATAATCATTCAATTGAACACCTTGAAGTAAACACCTTGTATATATATATTTATGATTGAATGGCTGTAAAATATGTACAAAAAGTTGATGTGTTTTTGTATCACCTTGAGCTATCATTACCTTGAGGCGTTATTCTTTCTTCATTTTCGTCCAGAATATGGTAGATCTTTTTCATTCTATGCCAAAAGTGTGATTTTGTATTTGAAATATCAACAATCCGTCTTCTTCTTCTTCAGCTCTTTCAAAAGCAGATTTTATATGAAAATTGAGAAATGTAGTTTTTGTACTCCTTTTTGTTATGAATTACTGAACATTTGTGTGTGTTTTGTAGTCAGATTTTTGATGTGCTGGATAATAGAGGCTTTGATGTTTTATACAAATTTTGTTAGTCACATTTATTCTCTATTTTTACTCTGTGTATAATCATTTGTATAATGTATTACATTTATCATGTCAAGTGGGATGGTCATTGATAATGATCATGTGCAAATATATCTTACCTGAAAACGTAAAATTATGTAAATTGAATGCGAGGTAGTGATTCTTTGCAGGAAATAATGAAGGCAATATTGACTATTAGTCCAAATAGGAAATGCTGTAGAAAAGCTACATGTAGGAGATCATGAATTCATGAGCAAATTATAGAAAAGGCAAAACTAACTGTTGATTTTTGTGTTTAACTGATGATATATGTGTTTTCCCCTCTAATCTATATCCTTCGAACTCCTTTTCCTAATGTATTTTATCAAACCTACATGTTGGTGTTTCTTTCGCCTTAATTTCCTAAGACTGTTACAATAACTGGCAGCCTCCAGGTGTTGAAATTGCATAGAAATACATGTAGCATCATTAAAAAATAGAATTGTATGGTAGCGAGTTTGGAATTCTACTCAAATGGTTACTCAATGGTACAAAAGAGTATTTTTTTTTTCTTAACTGAAATTTAGAAATAATAAAGGCCTCGTATAAAATATTCCATGTTTAAATATCCAAATACTCTACTGATATGAGTAATACAAATTCCCTCAAAATAACACTCATTTTCTGCCTTTGGAATTCTGAAATATTTAATTGAAACTTGGGAGCTGTAGTATCAGGTTATGTAAAGTGAACCAACATATTTGGTGGTACAGAAATCCCCTTTTTTAACAAGGATAGGCAAAGAGTACTGCTCATCAATAGCATGTTTGATTGTGAATTTAGTCAGGATTTTTTATTCTATTTATCAAATAGTGAGTTAATTGTATTAAGTCCTGTTAGTTTTAATGTGTGTATACTTGTCTATCCTTGCCTTAGAGCGTCATGTATAGTTAAGTTGTGAATGTTACCAATCATGTATGTTTCGAAGTGACTCTTAATTAATCTTTGTATTGTTATATTTATATATTAGATCATGTTTAGGCTGCTGTCAGTTTTTAATTCATAATCAGTTGATAACTTCATTTAATCGGTTTGCTTTTTATTTGTTACTGGATGTTTTACATATATTGGATTTGATTATCAGAGCGGACCAAGACACATTATTGAATCGAGTATGAATAACATACTAGTACACTTTAAAATAATAAAACACCATGAGAAGGGAGAGAATAGATACATTTAAGTTTCTATGAATATTTCCAATGAATGTACATTCTTGATAAAAACAAAACTTCAGTCTTTCAAAATTATCCTATGCCACTATATTTCAGTTTCAAATTAACTGAGTCTTATGGATAAGCATAAATTAATTGTTCATCAATAGTAATGAAATTAATATGGAAATTAAAAAGAATGGCTTTGCTTTGAATTATTGAAATGCCTTTAGATTTAATATTTAGATATTTCACTTACAGATTAAAAAAAAAACAACAACTAAGAAATAGGATGGGTATGATTTGGACAATCGTTATACAAACTAAAAGTAGACTAATACCCCATTCACAGTGGTTTTGAAATTTGTAGCGGCGTTGTAGCGGAGCGGCGACACCGCCATAACACCGCTACAAATGCATTCACAGTAGAAAAGTTATCCCGCTGCAGCAGCGGGATAAATATCATGTACCGATTCACGCTGCAGCAGGTGAATTTTATTACCTCCGTAACAAACACGTGTATGAATGGCTCATGACCCGCGAGTGACCCCGATATGACCGGAAATACTTCAGCGCGGGGTTTTCGATTGCTTGAAATTGCGCGCGCTAGCTGTACTTTACACACTCTTCCTCATGTAGCTAGCTCGATATTACTTTTTAAAAAACTAGCATTTTTATTGCTTCCAGTCAGAATATTTTAATTTTTTGAAGTGTGAAATATTTTTATTTGGATAATTATAATATCTACATAATAATAAAATCAATTTGAATCCACTGGTTACTTTATTTCTATTTCACTTTATGTTCCCCATTGCTGGAGAAAAGAGGTCAGTGATAGGTAAGTAAACAAATCACACGTGTTTGTCGCGGTGTTATAGCGGAGAGCCTTCACACTGAGTAAACACCGCGACAGCAGCGGGACTGTCCCGCTGCTGTAGCTAGGCGAACCTAGCGATAGTTTGTCGCGGCGTTATCGCGAGGCGGTGTTATCCCACGATAGTTTATAACGGGTCCGAGCCTTCACACTGAAGACAACACCGTGACAGCAGCGGGACAGTCCCGCTGCTGTCGGGGTGTTTGAGGCCACTGTGAATGGGGTATTAGACTATGTGCAGGTACAGTGTGTATCTTTAAGGACATTAAGGACATTCTGCTGTAAGCTGTGTGCACCTTGGCTGCACAGGGCCAGCCGGTTATGTTTTTACCATACACAATACATAGTGCATACAGTAGTAAATACATGATCAGCTGGGGCTGCTCAGCTAAGGTGCACACACAAACATAACGGCAGAACTTCCTTAGATGCGGTCAGAGGTTATTTATTTATGTTTTCATAGATGGGGTTAGAGGTATCTCAAATTCTTCCGTCCATATTCCGATACCTGCCTCTTCCTCTGCAATACAATGACCTCGTCTTATATTTTTCAGCATTAGAATTGGACGACTTAACACCTTGTATGGTCTGTGATGTAAGCATAATTGTCATTTTATTTCATCTATTATATCTCTTATTATACATGCATTTTCCATGTATTCATACATTACTGAAAGGCTGCATTTTTAAAGCACAATAATCAATCAGTATTTGAAACTCTTTAAGCTTTTAGTTCAAGAAGAAAAGTCAGATGTGTGCTATACACCACATTAATAAAGCCATTCTAAATATAATTACAAAATGAAATTGTCCTAAAGCATATTATTGGAAGTTTAAAATGGGTCAATTTCAAAAAATCATATTCTAGGATTCTACAACTTTTACAATGGCAATACAAGAGACATACATTGTAGTTTGCATGTATTCCAAGAAACCTTGAATATTAATTTATGTTATACTTGTACAAATACTATACATCAAGCTTGTTAGTGTAGCCTTTGATAAGGTAAATGTGAGTAAATCTTTCCTACTCTTATTTGGTAGATCATCCATTTCATCTGTTATCGTTTTATTTAGGCTGACTTTGTAGAAGACGTGTATCTTGTTGAGATTTGAATTATCTATCAACTATTTATCATTTGTGTAATATGCTGAAGGAATAAACAGCTATGTGCTTTTGAGGCTTTCATAGATAAATGTGTTTTGTCTTTAATGGTTTGTTATAATAGTTTTATTCACAATTTTACTGTCCCTTTAACACAACTTCTTATTTATATTTGGAAACAAAAAATGGGTTGTACCTTACTTTTGACAATTACTGGAAATTTACTTGTTTTGCATGTTGATATAATGAATGGTTATTTCTAGTTTCTTTCACTCTCTCTCTCTTTCATTTTCTTTATCATATTTCCCTCTTTTGCCATTTTACTTCTCTTGCTTTCTCACTTAAAAAAAAATCAACCTCTGTCTAGTAATCACTCTTTTTCTCCTCCTTTTTTTGGCCTTATTTACCTTCCTTTTTCTCTCTCTACTTTCTTTCTTTTTGGTGCATCTACGTATACTTTGCTACAAATTGGGCATGTTATGCTTGATATACTCAAAATGTTTTTCATCTTTTGCAATGCAAATACAAAAAAAAACTCACATTAGAGGATGCATAGATATACATACATATTTCATACAATAGACTTTATTTCATTCAAAATCTTCTTTTTCACGTCATTTTGACATAGTGCAATATGCTGTCATACATGTACAGTACAATTCTCGGTACTTTTGCCCTCAGCTAGTATAGTAGAGCGACAACAATACACAATACAGTGATAGAAATCAATCAACGCATGACATTTGTAGAGGAAGGGAAACGGGAGGGAAAAACACACCTGCTCAACCCCCTTGGTGTCTTTTGAATACAAACGTACACAGAAAAAAAAATCTGATGAATAATCTCCTTGACAGTATTGTGAAGAAATTTGTTGATTCAATAAGAAGGAGATTGAGGAGGAGGGTGTATTTTCAGGAAGAGATATTTATCTGATGGACTACACATGCTTTGCTTCATGATTTCTTTTCACCATGACATCATAGTGCTGACATCAAAGGTGGTTGCTGAATAGACCCCACAGAGGGGGCATGTCAATTGTCCATTTCATTTCCTTCCTCCATCAATATTGGTGACGAGTCCTCTGAGATATGGTCTACTTCACCATTCTTTCAGTACCAAACTGTGAGTTTGTCGTTCATCCATTCATTCTCTTTCGCCGTATTGAGTAGGAGGACAAATCCTCATATCACTCACGTACTGTGAAAGTGTTTTGAAATGGGGGATGTCAATTATCTGTTCCATTCCACTCTTCCTCCACCACCACCACCACTGAAGTGTCCTCCAGCTGGGTCTCCTCATCATCATCATCATCATATTCATCCTCTCCCTCATTAAGGGTGCGTTTATCATGCCTTGCCACTCAGAATCAGCGTTTCTATATGTACATATCGAACCCCACTATACGAACGTGATTTGCGTGATGTCGCCTTTATCGTCTCTTCACGATTCAAAATAAAGGCCTTTTCTCTGGGCAGCTGCTTCGCGCCGTTTGACCCGGGAAGCAGACGGTATCTCGGGGGTCAAATAGAGCGAGTACACACACATGTTTGTACAACAACATGACATTTCAACGAACCAGAAATTAGCCTGGGAAGGTCCGATTTCTATGTGGGGTTCAGAACAGCTTTGCGTTTATCACCTCTCAGAAACATGATTCTGGCTGTACGTCACATTCAAAACGCACTTTTTTCTGCGTTAAAATATGCCCATATCTAAAGACGTTTGAAAAAGGCTTTGCGTTTGTCACCTTAAAAATTTGCCTGAAAAACGTTTGAAAACGCTGATTCTAGGCAAAAAGATTGACAATAAACGCTCCCTAAGATAAGGTATGTCAATTATCTGTTCCACTCCCCTCCTCTGCCACCACCATTGAGGAATCTTCCAGCTGGTTCTCTTCATCATCTTCTTCATCTTCACCCTCGTCCTCTGCATCCATGTCGAAGAGACGCACCCTCCTCTGGTTAGAGAACAGCTGTAGGATCAGGGAAGATAGGGCAAGAATTAAGGACTGTAACATGTTAAGCCCACCCCACACTTTATGAGCGTCCTGCGATCTGATTAAATTAGATAGGACATCTAAACAAACACCATCTTTTGCTTCTAAATCAAGATAAGAATACTAACAATAGAAATGTTAAAGCCTATCTGCACTAGTTTGGCCAGGATAGATTAGACCTCCCTGCACAGTCACTGACAGGTGGTTATCTCATCAAATCAGCTCTCAATTGACATAAGAAAAAGGGTACCATGGGGGACCAAGGGTCACCGCTAAGGCATTGTTTGCTATATAGAGGGCGCAAGTAGCTATAAGTAGTGCAGTGGGGCTTTAACTCTTCTAGTCAGAATAAAAGCTGAATTGGCTACATATTGTAGACACTAGCACTACTGGGACCCATTTCACAAAGCCTTTTTTCAATGACAAATTACAAATATCAGTGACAAATCTGCTGATAACCAATCAGAAACAAGGATTTCAGTAGCTTACAACAAAAACTGTCATTTGACACTGATGACAAGTTCTGTGAAACGCCCCCCTGGTCTGACGTTACTATGATTCTGAGCCGATTTATTATCATTATTTATATTCAACTCTCGCAAATTGTTAATAATGCCAGTCTCATGGAAAGAAACTTACAAAAAAACAAAACAACTATAATATTAATAAATCATTTCACAGATTTTGCAATTTGCAAAAGTTTACAGTGATGAAACAAGAGCACTTAAAGTATTCACAAGTTTCTAGACACAGAAGTTTCTGATTTTATTATTCATTAAGAATTGGCGAGAGTTATATCATTAGTTGTGAAGCAACCTAAAAATTCAACACCAAACCTAAATTTCAGAGTACACATTTAGCTATTTTATCAACAAACTGATCAAGCAGAGAAAGTACTCAAACCCACTCTCTTATCTCGAATAAGCTCTGGCTACTTACCACACAGGCAACCTTTCTTGACCCACTGACGGCTAGCCTACCAGCTCTCATGTTGTCCATCCGTCTGGATGTTACTAATGGGCCTGCGTCAATCGATCTGTAAAAGAAAATATCACGTACCAGTTTATATGAAGTAGTTCCCTTCTTCTTCTTCCTTTTGAGTACAGACCTCTTTACAGAGTATTATCGTACTATACTGGGGGTGTGCAGGTGGACCACTACACCGGGGTTTCCCCCTACTCTTATACGATATATACATCAAATAAATCCCATACATGTAATATATTATTATTATTATTATTATCATTATTATTATTATAATAATTATTTTTTTAAATATTATTTTTATCATCATTATATCATCATTATTATTTTTTCATCATTATATCATCATTATTATGATTTAATTTTAATTTTAATTTTTTTATTTTTTATTATTACTACTATTATCATCATTATTAATTATTCTTTCAAGATTACAGAACTGCAAAACACAATTTATGGAAGGCATTGCTATTGCAATGACCAACTGCTGTTAAACTAGCACTGCTGTTACTGCTACCATTACACCTTCAACACAGTTCTATAACTATCTCTACCATTACTGGTTACCATTACAAAATAAATTTCGCTCAGCGAAACAATTACTATTATATGGAAATCACAATAAATAGGACTACTAAATGTACTATCATAATTTTAACTTGAAATTGAACTACTACACTACCTGTTAAAAAATAACTAGCAGGGCAATCCAACATGTGCTCCAGGCTTTATTTTGTCAAACATATGAGGTTAGAATTAGCGTTTGAATTTAGTTTTAGGTAAGGGTTAAAGTTATGGTTAGGGCTGGTGTTAGGAATTTTGTTAGTGTAGGAAAGTACAGTGGAGCAATTGTTGTAGGAGCATTTGTTGGACAGCCGCTAGCAGTATTACATGTCGAGGGGTCAGTGACACAAAGACATAACTCCATTTTGGCCATTCTGAGAAAAAGTGGTTTATGTGTCACTGAGCACTTGGGCCTTAAAGTGTGGAGTCTATGTTTCACTAGCCATTGACTTCAATGTGGTGTTGGGTGGAGTTAAGTCTGTGTTTCCTGGAAAGTCCACATTTTTCTGAACATTTTGATATCAAATACTCATTTTGGCAAAATATGGAGTTACTGGTACGTCTTTGTGTCACTGGACCCTCGATGTACTTCACACATATACTCCACAGAGGATGCAGAACAGGACAGACTTACATATGTTGCCCTGATGATAGATGACCTTTGACCTGTGACATGGGGGTGAACTCCACCTCTGCTTGGAGTGATTCTAGAGAGAGCTGACATAGGACAGGCTTGCCGTTGTTTATACTGCCCTCATCTTTCACCTCTTGTAGGAGGAGTGAGAGGGAGTGATCGCCGTAGAAGGCAGCATCCAGCACTAGATGACTGTGGAAGGGATGCATTTTAGGATGGAAAGCAACATTGCCGATCAATAGTCAAATGATACTTGGAATTAAATTCAACAAGTCTATTACAGAATCTTAATCACACTCCTTACAGATATCCTTGTAACACATTTTGACCAAATATGTATGCTTGTAAATCATAGCATACATGTACAATTTCAGTGTATAAGGTGCACTTTTTCCATGTCGCCGCAGCAACAAACAGAGTTGACAAAAGACTTAACTCTGTTTCGTTGACGATCACCATGCACAAGTCTTTCGTCTTCTTTGTGCATGGCTGATTGTCAAGCTTTGCAAATATGTGTCATTTTTTAATTATAATTGTGATTAAGTTTTAGATAAAACATTGATAATTCTTGATTTCGTTTTTTCTTTATATGTGCCGAATTATAACAATGTTACAATTTTAACAAATTTACTCAATCTAATGTAACTGATCTACCAAATGGATATTATGTTTATTTACAAATACAATTTTTAAATTTAAAAGCACTCTCTTGCATGATAGTGTATGCTGAGAGCTATAGTGACACAAACTCTTATGCTTTCACACATATTGAACACCTTTCATTCTTTCACCACATGTTATGAGCTAGGCTGACATTTTATTGGTCATCAGAATAATCATCATGAAATACGGTACCTTTCAGCTGCTAATGAGACTATGCTTTCATCTGGGTCTGACCTGCCGAGGGTTCCAAACGTTAGACAAACCATCTCTGTTTCATTCTGGCTACTTCTGAAATGGTTTCAATCAACAAAAACAAGAAAATGTAAGGAACTACAGTCAAACCTGCTTTAGTGACCACCTGTTTATAAAGACCACATTTTTTATTTCCCTTGAAAAGGGTTTCTTATTGAAACATGTACTATTAAAGGCACCTGTACATAAAGACCGCCTGCCTATAAAGACCATTTTTCTTGTCTCCCTTGGGTCATCTTTATAGACAGGTTTCACTGTATCACATGTGATCAGCAGTGGCAGCTCGCTCTCTTGAAATAAATATTCAGTGAAAGGAAATAAGCGAATAATGGCACTCAGTTTTTTTAAACATTTATAATAAAAGTTTCTTGTGATGACATGGACAATATAAATAAAACAAATCCCATGCAAATACAATTCAATTCACAGGGATTTACAAGACAATCTTCACAAGATTAATTCACAGTAAATAGCAATCATTGAAAGAAAAAAAAAGTACATTATTGATGAACAAGCAGAATTACGGTCTCATTGAAATGTGAAAACAACATACTGGGGGGTGTTTCACAAAGACTAAGATTAACTTTAAGTTGGACTTAACTATGATGGGCCGTTCATGCCACTGATTGCTCTAACCATTATGATCTTAAAATAATAATTTTCCCTTCAATAATGAATTATCAAATAATGTAAATTCTGTAGATTTGTGACCATGATTTACACGTCCTTTGAGAGAACAATGCCAGTAAACGGTGAGAGCAAACAGTGGCATAAAGGACCTGCCATAGTTAAGTTCAACTTAAAGTTGATTATAGTCTTTGTGAAACACTCTCCAGGTCTCTTGATGCAATGATTACATACCGGTACTTTAAAGATATCTCTTAAAAGAAACAGATACATCAATAAAATGACACGGTCATTCTAACACTGCTTTTACCTGTCCGGTTTGGTGTGTTGTCTGGTCATGTATATACACTGCGCAGGGGAAGGTTCTGTCATAAACACTGTCAAGAGTTTGCTCTGATCCTGTAGGCTTTGTCTGAATAAAGACAGATGCAATGAATATTAGAAGTAGATAAAGAGATGGGAGGGGTTTCAAACTAAAAGTGATGATGTAGATATATGTTAAGCAGGCGAAGGTTCTGTCATAAAGACAGTTAACATTCAGCTCCTGCTTCTGTATGCTTTATCTAAAAGTATAAAGATAGATCTATTTTCACTATTTAAGAGTGACTGAGAGAAATTGAAAGAAGAGGGGGAGAGGGGAAGAAAGCTCCTGCAAAAGTTGGATAATTTCCTAACTTCAATTCTTCACCTAGTTGTATACCTAAACCTATCCCAAACCCAACCAAAACCCTACTCACACACTTTGGACAAAATAAAGCATGGAACACATGCCAGACCAATAATGATAATCTAGGGTTTCCTCATATGAATTCAAGCCTCAGAGACAGGTCTCTTTCTTACACTAAAGGAGGAGATACAGTGCAATATAATTGGTTATTACTTTTTTTACTACGAAAGCTTCTGAACAATATAAGAGGTCGACAGCTGAGCTTCTTGGGTCATGTAATTCAAAAGAATGGTTTGGAAAATCTTGCACTGACTGGAAGAATCGAGGGGAGGAGGAGTAGTGGTCGAAGGAGGATTCTGTGGATGAGTAGCTTAAGAAGTGGGATTTCTGAAAGTGGAATTGACCTCGGGGAGAATGAATTACTTCATAGAATATGGGACAGAGAGTTGTGGTATTCCATGGCACGTAAAGAGAGAGAGATTACTTACTGTGAGAGAGTTCTGTACTCAGGATGATCAGTTTCGGATCTTTTGTCTAATGTGAAACTCTCCCTGCAGCTGAGAGACTCCCCTCCAACACTCTGGTGCAAAATGAAGAATTAAACATGGTGTCATTTACATTCACACTTTTCCAATCCTCTTGTATTAAATGTATCTCAAATTAGACTTGATAAGAAATCAATTAATGAGTGAAGATTATCCAAATATTCATCTATCGGTTTAACATGATGAGGCACCAATTGGTAACTTTTCCATAACAAAAATGCAGAACTTCTAGAGTACATAATGTCTATTTGGAGCATTAAGTGTGTACAATGAGTTAATCTTATGAGTTAATGCCCTTCTGGCTCCAAACAGATGATTTACAAAATATATTATACAACATTTACCTTGAGCTATCAAAATATCCAATATTATTACATCATTATTAGTTAGTCAGGAAAACCCCCAAAACTAGAAAGCCTTAATCACTCCCTTCCCACCACACTCCTGGAAACCCCTTCAACTATTATACCTGGGGTCGACTCAGGGCATGATCTACCGCATCTTTCACAACATCATGAAGCTGGCTCAGTGACCTCTCTCGTTGCCATGGGAACAAGAGGTCACTGCCACGCAAGCTTGGCGAGGAGGCTACGAAGTCCTGCCAGGAGTTTGGAGCTGTACTGACGGGGAACTGTAGATCCTCTTTCCTGAGGTACTGCCCTACTCTTTCCAACGTGAAGCCGGACTTGGTGACATCTAAGCTGGGTTCCTGGTTGGAGTCAGAGTTTAAAATTGATGTTATTTTTTTTACACTATAACACATCCGACTTGTTTTGATTTATTCAACATTGAATTGATAGACAAGAGTGATGAAACAGAAAGTGTAATTAGGTAAGCAGCCTTCACAAATTTGTTGAGGATCTTTGTGTGGGTAATTAAAACATAAAGACTGGAGAATTAGATTCACTTTTTCAGCTCATCTATTATTTTTCATGGTAATTTGACAAACAAAGTAATAATGCTAATATTAGTAAAGTCGATAGCACGAGAACCGGGTTTTTTGGTAATCCTAATGGCTAGAAAAGTGATCTAGTTATTGAAACATTAGTGGCAACAAAAATCTTTTCTTTATACAATAACACTCTATTTTATATCCCTTCTTTAGGCTGTTCATATCTTCCTTCTATGAATTACCAACATTAAATATATCTCCTCTATTTATTATCAGATATTCTACATGAATACAGAGGAATATGTCAATGGATTCTATATCAAAATCCTGAAATTTCTTGAAATATTGAATTATAAACAAACAAATCATAAGTAGTGAGATAATGAGAAACTAAACTATAGATTGGAAACAGTGAAAAACAACGATATAATTTGGGGTACTTACATCCGTGAAGTTTTCAGCAAGGAAGTCTGCAACAAAATTGATGTCTCTTTGATACATCTGTGACAGAACAAAGATATATATACTAAGTACCAACTAAATTGAGAGCATGATAAATATATTACATGCGAGTAACTGAGACAATTGGCACAAATACATTTCTGTATTTCATTAGTCTGTGATATTGTCATGTCAAATCCTACATGTTTGTAACTGATAATAATACATGTACCATTTCTTACCCTTTCCTTCTCGACCTATGCCAGAAAGTCCCTTTCAATACAAAATAAAGGCAAGGTTAAGAATACACGTCATCCGAGGTTTATTTTCACAGGATTTTTTATGGTTCTATAGAATCAAAGGAAATGTATGTTGAATACCGGTGATGATCTCTGATAGGTATGGCTGGATTGACTGCCAATTCATTTAAATCAGGCAATGTAAGGATAGCTAATATTACGGTCACAAAACTTTGTACGAACGATAATCTCGTACGAATCTCCGTTTTTCCATTGTCTTCCCGAATTTCCATTGTATGAAAATCGTAATGGCATTTGTGAATGAAGCTTAACCGGCATATACATCTTTACAATGATTGCCTTTATTTCTGAGCTTGGTGTTAAAGCCTATCTACACTAGTTTGGCCAGGGAGGATTAGACCTCCCTGCAAGGTCACTGACAGGTGGTTATCTCATCAAAACAGCTCTCAATTAACATAAGAAAAAGATGATCATGGGGATCAACAGGCACCAATTAGGCATTGTTTCCTATATAGAGGGCGCAAGTAGCTATAAGTAGTGCAGTGGGGCTTTAAACAGACCTTGCTAATGTTTTGTTGAATAGGCTCCTCCATGAGTTGCATAACAATAACATAGAGGGGATCATGGGGGACCAACAGGCACTGATATAAGCATTGTTTGCTATAAAGAGGGCACAAGTAGCTATAAGTAGTGCGGTGGGGCTTTAAACTGACCTTGCTAACGCTTTGTTGGATATGTTCCTCCATGAGTTGCATAACAATGATATAGAGGGGATCATGGTGGACCAACAGGCACCGATTAGGCATTGTTTGCTATAAAGAGGGCGCAAGTAGCTATAAGTAGTGCGGTGGGGCTTTAAACAGACCTTGCTAATGCTTTGTTGAATCGGTTCCTCCATGAGTTGCATAACAATGACATAGAGCCATCTGAAGAAGGCCTTGAAGTTCTTCAGACTGCTCTCGATTACTCTGTAAGAAAAATCAAATCATAACGTATCGGGATAGTGGGATAGATGGCCAAACCGCATATCTGGTACCATCTCCAGTTATGCAGAGGCATGAATACAATACTGTCATGTTCTTCTTAGATTCAGAAGGATGTTAACAAAATGTTGAGGATTGTGATAAAATTTCAGGTTATTGGCAGAAAATATTTGTCTCCTCAAAAGTGAATGCTCTACCCTAGCAGAAGTTAAATTTATAAAATCAAACAAAGCTACATTTTGAATATTGTGATTCAATATTTATTAAACAATTCAAGAAATATTACAATAAGCAATAGTGACCAAGCAACACAAAAAGAAAGGAAAAAATAAACAAAAACAAGCACCAGATAATGTATAATTATTTTTACTGTCTGTTTTCAGAAATTGGATCTCCCTTTCCCATCAAAAAAAGTTGGACCGATGAATTCCTGAAAATGCTTTTTTTCTTCAGATTTTCTGATATATAGTATGGCATCTAATGAAGCACTATAGTTTTTGTACGTCAGGAAAGTATGAATGATCATGATGAGAAAAATCATGGTGCAGTATATGGTTTATGACATCTTTCCAGTTTGAAGGGGAAAAAATGAATTGAATTCAGAATAGAATGAACTCTTGAACTTTCATTGGCCTCATTTTAAAAGCGCACCAATATAGTAAATAACACATTCCTCCTTGTTTACAAATTTTGGCCCCAAAATTACTCCAATGTTGATTTTGTGTAAATTTCATGTAAACTACTAGCAGGTAGCAATTTTTAAGATGCCAAGCTTGTATGTTACACAGCTGTCTGTGTACATTTCACTCTGCTATTTCCTGTGTAATATACAAGCTGTCAATCAAATGTCCATGTACCTGTCGATTTATATGACCTACTTCTTATCAATAATAAGTTACAATAACTGTTATAAACTATTGAAATTGTGGCATTTGATCTGCAGAGAGCAAATTTGTTATATAATTTTTTTGTTTACTTGTTATTGATTACAAGTTTTACAAAACAAGGCCCAGGTGAAGTTCGATCATATTGTAATAGTTAAGTCTGCAAACTTTAAGATATTTAAAACTATTAAAAAGTAAATATCCAGCCAAGCAAAGTCATACTTACTGTAACAGTTCATTTGCTTTCAGCATGAAGGAACCAACTGCACTGATGGCATCTGCAAAAAAGAAGAAAAATAAGCTTTAAAAGAAAATTAAAAATCTCCAAGATATATGAGATTATTCCCTACTTGGAAAAAGTACAGAATACTGTTGAACATAAACTGGGAATTGGATAAAATGCCCAGTATGAGTGAAGTTTTCATCAGCAACAAATTGAAAAGGCCAATTTGCGACATTAATATGTAGTGGAATATTTAAAAAATAAGGATTTTCAACAGAAAACCATCTTTAGTTAACGCAAAATGAAAGTAACTAGATGGAACTTCGACTGCGCGCAGTCGAAAATGTGCCTCCGTCATAGAGCAATTTTACAAACCAAAACAGAAGAAATTTTTCGAATTCAAGTTCAATTGTAATCCATTAACAGGTTCTCAGAATATTGTGATTACGAGCTATTTTTGCATACATGAGCCAATGACCTTTGACCTTATGAACCAAGAATCTACTCAGTTCATTGGCTCTGCAAGAAACATACATGACCTAAGTTGGCAGGAATCCATCAATCGGTTCTTGAGATAACGCGATCACGAGCTGTTTTTTCATACATAATGTGCCCTGTGGCCTTTGACCTTTGATCTTGTGACCCCTACATCTAATCAGTTCATCGGCTCTGCAAGTAACATACATGACCTAAGTTTGGCAGCAATCTATCAATCGGTTCTTCAGATAACGCGATCACAAGCTCGTTTTGCATACATAATGAGCCCTGTGGCCTTTGACCTTTGACCTCGTGACCTCAAAATCTAATCAGTTTTTCGGCTTTGCAAGTAACATACATGACCAAAGTTTGGCAGCAATCCATCAATCGGTTCTTCAGATAACGCGATCACGAGCTCGTTTTGCATACATAATGAGCCCTGTGACCTTTGACCTTTGACCTCGTGACCCCAAAATCTAATCAGTTCATCGGCTCTACAAGATACATACATGACCAAAGTTTGGCAGGAATCCATCAATCGGTTCTTCAGATAACGCGATCATGAGCTCGTTTTGCATACATAATGAGCCCTGTGACCTTTGACCTTTGACCTCGTGACCCCAAAATCTAATCAGTTCATCGGCTCTACAAGATACATACATGATCAAAGTTTGGCAGGAATCCATCAACCAGTTCTTCAGATAACGCGATCACGAGCTCGTTTTGCATACATAATGAGCCCTGTGACCTTTGACCTTTGACCTCGTAACCCCAAAATCTAATCAGTTCATCGGCTCTACAAGATACATACATGACCAAAGTTTGGCAGGAATCCATCAACCAGTTCTTCAGATAACGCGATCACGAGAACGGGACGTACGTACGTACAGACGTACGTACGTACGTACGTACGGACGTACGGACGGACGGACGTACGGACGGACGGACAACCCGAAAACATAATGCCTCCGGCTACTTCGTAACGGAGGCATAAAAATTTAAAAAGGACAATTGTAGTGACTTCTGTATTGAAATGACTACATCTGTTACACAAAAGCTTAGTGAAGAACTGTGAAGAGAATTGTAAATGTATGCAGAAATCTATGAGGTTTGCAACATCTAGGGACTTACCTTTATATCTAATATTTCGAACTAGTTTTATTAGTTATCTCAACTTTAGCATTCGACAAGTTAGAAAACAGAATGTTCTCTAGCAATTTTAAAGATGAAATTGAGAAAGAATTCAAACCAAGAGAGAAGAAAACAAATATACGAACCTTGAATAGCTGTTGCATTGAGTCCTAGCATTCCATACTTGTCGTACCACAAGGCCATGCCTTTCAATTCACTCAACTGGAACAAGAGCGATCGTCCAACGCTGAAAAAAACAAAAAGAAAGTTAAGCAAAAGATTCATGAAAACATAAATTCTAAACACTACATTTGTTGATGATGAATACATTTTTGAAAGTTTCTATAAACATAAAGAATCAGTATGTATCACGTCTTACATTTTTGCTGTTTGGCAAAAGTAAAAATTGTCAAAAATGTTATGAACAGAAAGATAACCCAGTAAAACAAACAATTTTCTGAAACATGCGTAAAGAAGATCATGACACATGTTATTTTTTTTCTCTAGATGCATGTATCAAGGAATGCAGGAAACAAGGAAAAGATGTGAAATAAATTCAAATTTGAACAAAGTGAAGGAAATTAATTTTGCTTAATATTTTCTGTTATAATCATTGTAACTGACGAAAACAGTAACTATAATTCTGCTTAGGAAGATCGTGTAGTCACCTGTGAATGTGTTTGAGGACAAGTTTCTGAATGCTGACGTAGGAGTTCTCTACCGACTGGTCCAACTTCTTTAGGCCTTTCTCAGTGAGATCGTGGACCAGGAACTGCTGTAGTTCTGGACTAGCCTTCCCCCATAGGAGCAACTGAAGGAACTCATCACTCAGAGATTCCTCCGTCGGCTTTTGCTAAAATGGAAATTAGATGAATATGAATGCTTTTTCAGACAATGAACATAGTTGAAATTAATGAATAATATGAACATCATAAAAAAAAGATGACTCTGGTACATTAAAAAAGTATACAGACGATGTCACAAAGCCTATCCACAGCGGTCAATTGCTCGTGAATCTTATCTACAATTGTTGACACGTCTAAGGAAAATTTCTGATCTGTGAAACAAATCCTGCAAAAGTTATCATAATTGTCCATCTGACTCTTTACCTCTGTATGAAAGTTAAACAAGATAATTGTATTATTGAAGTATTCTGAATTCTACACCCATAATGATGACAACAAAATAATAGATTAAGAAATAGAGTTGTTCTCAAACAAAGATCTAAGATCTCAGGTATCCTTTCCAGCATTACAGGTGTAATACTGATATTATTTATTAGGATAATTGTTAATATGGATATATTTACCACTTCACTCTGATCTACATATGATCTGTGAATCTTAATGTACACCCCCCTCTTTCCCCCTTTTACCAATATTTGTTTCTCCATATTCATATTATTATATATCCATTTAAGGATAGTCATGCTATCAAGCTTTGCTTATTTTGTCAATCCTCCTGTTTGATTTTTTTCCGATTAGTTACAGCCAGCCTTATTTTGTTCGACATTATATTTTGAAATGTGTAAAATTTGCAATGGTTTGTCTGTTATATATTTGTAAAAATGCAAGTGAAAAAAGAAAATCAAACAGAAATAAATGAATCAAAATTGTGTAACCATTACCTGTGCATATTTGGTGAGTTTATTTTCCATTTCAATGAGAATGTCTTCCTTCGCCTCAGTCACAGCTTTCAGAGTTGCTTCTAAATACTAACAAAAAAATACATGAAATAATAATAATAATGACTAACTGTAACACGCCATATCCATTTAATAGAAATGCTCAAGGTGCTGTGAGTATACATGAAAAATTTATACTCTACAGACTACAGAGGACATGAAAAATACATTTAAGAGTACATCAAAGAAATAAGTTGACACAAATATACATTAAGGAAATATACATGAATGACAAAGACGAAATGTGGAAAAAATGAATTAATCAAAAGCAGCTTTGAACCGGTGAGATTTAAGACTTGAATAAGTTTAAGGTTGCATATGATACATGTATGTTATGAATGGTCGCTGTCTCAGAAGGATTTCTTCCTTCATATGGAGATCATTTTACTCATCTCTAGTATATGGAGTACAAAATAGCCTCGGAAAACGAAACGTTGTCATAGGGCAAGCATGAACAAAGGTTATTATTACATCTAATTAGATTTGATGAGGATCCACATTTTGAAAATGCGGAACTAGGTTTGTAAATAAAGAGTGGAAGATAGTAACAATTTATTAAAAAAATGGAAAAACTAAAATTATTTTTCTTTTGGAAACGCATAGAGATATTTTGATCATAATGTGATATGCGCTATACAAGAATGGCATATTATTAACACATAATATGGCATACATACCTCCATTAGGGTTCGTATCTTGCCAAACTTTTTAGCATATCTAGAGATTTCTTGATGCCTCGATGCTAGCAGGATACAGTCAAGCTATCAGAAAGAAAGATGGGGTAGGTAATAAGAATTATGATAGAGTTAGACAGTGAATGAGTTCAATACCAACAATTACCAATGAGAGAAATTTTGCGATTGGTCGGTAGATGCAAAGAAATCACAATTATATGATGAGCAGAATCTTGTTTTTCACTCAACATCAACAGTAATGTAGAGGTGTCTTGGTTGAGTGGATATGTCACTGGACTGTCGATCACAAGGTCCGCGGTTCGAGTCCCGTCGCGGCACTAATGTCCTTTGGCAAGACATTGATCTACATTTGCCACACTTAACCCAGGTAATGTAAATGGGTTGCCCACCTGGCAGGAATTAATTCCTTGAAATGCTAGAGCGCCGTAATGGCAGCCATGCTAAAGTCAGGGTAATAATCGGGAGCACCAGGAGTTTCAAACCTGACAGACATGAGCGCTATACAAGAACCCACTATTATTATTATTATACCATTTCATTCAACTTGACTACAGCACTCGATATCAATGATACGCATTTAATTTCCTTTATTTTAATGACAAAAATATTCTGCATTCTGAAGTACTTCATTAAACATTTTCCACTCACTGTCAGTAAAGAGTTGTAAATCTCAGTTACGTCTTCTTCATTGGAATACTCCACAATAACACAGATGGTGTGAAGATCTGAGGACAGAGAAGCGCCCAGGAAGTCGCCACACTGCAGGCAGAACAAGAGCAATTGTTTGAATTTAGGAATGCCCAACAGTCAAACTTTAAAATAAAAAATCTGTAAAGCACTCAGAGATATCTGTGATGTATTAAGCACGAAATAAACCCATAATATTTAATAAATCTCCCAAGCCCAAAACACAACGAGGATAGGCACGAATGGGACTAGTGATCAAATTTAATTGAAGACAGTCTACATGGATGTTGGCAAGATGTCATTAAGAAATTGGTACTCATCAAAAATACAACAAATATAGGATGATTTCCAGATTACTTTATTGATAGCTTGCCAATTAAAAGGCTCTCCTGGGGGGGGGGGGGGGGAGGGGGAAGAAAAAGAAACAAACCAGTAAACAACATAGTTTATTCGCATTGAGGCGCGATTGGCTATTAAGTGGTAGAGCAGTGGTCTTGTAACCAAGAGGGCCCCAGGTTCTAAACCAAGATAATGCGCTCCTGCCCTTTGCTATGGCTTTAATCCTCATTGCCAAGCCCCTCGGAGAGGACTGAAAGCCGTCTGTCCCCTGGTTGCCTACTTACCTTGGTTGTTGGTATGAACTGTGACATGTCCACATTGACGATGGGGGCAACTCCAAATGCTAGTAGTATCAGGGTTCCACCATTACAACCAACAGCCAGCATGTTCAGTCTGTTCATGAAGTAAAAACAAATCAGTAAATACAGTCAAACCTGTCTATAGCGACCGTCCAAGGGAAACACAAAAGTGGTCTTTGTAGATAGGTCCCTATGGTACATGTTTCAATGAGAAACCATTTTCAAGGGAAACAAAAAAATGTGGTCCTTGTAGACAGGTGGTCACTAACGCAGGTTTGACTGAACATACTCCAATTTCAAAATGTTTCAGACAGTTTGCAAAAACCAAACCAGGATACCCTTTAAAGAGAAGGTTGAGTTTTGGGAAGAGATGAAAAAAATGTTGTGAGCATTATCATTCTTATTATGCAAGTGTGGAAGAACATCAGATAAGACATGTTCCCTGAAAAGCATGGCTCTTCAAATGCCTTCATATTCTAAATATGTCATGTAACATCATGCAAATCCAGGGTAGGATTTTTATGCCATCCATGTGTTCGTGTAGTCCCATATACATCTTTCTGTGTACAGTGTTTGTAACTTTACCAAGACTTGGCCAGATTTCTTATCATGTTGATGATTCCAGAACCTTGCAATACACACAAATTCTTAGATGATCAACCTTTTCTGGTCGATTCCACACCGTTTCTTTCACAATGCAATCGCATGAACAGAACTCAACTTCATCTGCCAAGTTGCTGTAAGAAAAAATGGTGATGGACTTTGTAACCTTTTGGGAGAAAAAAAAATGCCAAAATTTGACCGTCCACCTCTTGTAGACCACAAGATGTGTTTAACAGTTGGCTAACAACATTTGTCCACAGCATATTCATCTTAATCATCATCATCATTTATCAAAGTCACTATTTTCCCTCTCTTTAATGTTACAACTTGAATGCTGATCCAGCGATGGTATCTCAAAGCCAACATAAAACATGCAAAACATAAATTGCTATTGATATCACGTAAATGTTTACTCTGGTTGCAGACAGAGTAACACTAAATGCCAGGAAAATGTTTTTATCGTCCTGTACAAGAAGATGACATACCTCTTTTGTTCCTTCAGCTTCTTAGCATCTTCTACATTGTCATCAATGTAACTCTTGATCGATGAACTACACGACAAAAAAGAAAAAAATGAGAGAAGTCTTTACATCAAGTCACAATCCACCAACATTGTCATCCCTGAAGAAAGGGCAGGCCCCAAAAATGTTGGAAATAGAATTAGGTAGTTGGCATAAAATATATCTCTTCAAAGTGTGATCTCTATTCATTTACATTTATACATCACCACAGCGTACATAACACTATTACATTGTCTATATCAAATTCTTTTCTCCCCCCCCCCTTCATAACTCGTCACAGACAGTGGCGTAGCATGGGTCTTAGCCAAGAAAAGGGCACGGGTGCCAGTTTCTCTACACCGTCATAAGTCTAAGTTAGTGGACATCCCATAGAAACGTGTGTTAATTCTATAACGCACGTTTGAATGGGATGTCGAAGAAGTTAGAGTTATGACAGTTTTGAGAAACAGCCCCCTGGTTTCAGGAGGGGCCATCAGACTTTATACAACGTGAATGTAATTTGAGAGAACAAAATCATTAAGTAGGGGAAAAGTTTTGAAGAAGATAATATCATCTTTTCATCACAATGCCTTCTTTTTGCCTTTCCATTTAATACTTTTTAAACTACTTCACAAGGGATGAGAGCATGAATATGAGGAGGTGCGATAGCTCAGTCGGTAGAGCAGTGTTCTCTTGTAATCCGGTGACCCAGGTTTCAAATCAAGTCGATGCGCTAGTGCCCTTTGGTAAGGCATTAATCCTCGTTACCAGGTCCCTCGGAGAGGACCTAAAACTGTCGGCCGTCTGTTTGCTTACTTACAAGCATTTATGTTTTCTTAGCAGTCAGGTAAAAAAAACACACCACCAATATGAAATCCTGAATAATCAAATGGTCCATCGTTTAAAAGTAAAGTCTTCACCACGCTATTTCAATCAAAAACATTTAGTAAAACTCACATTTTTGATAGAGACGGGAGCTTAGGCAGAAACTTCTCGGAGCTGTTCTCATCGGGGGCATCCCCGGCAGCGCCCAGGTCTGCCTTGACCGATGACTGGCCATTGGCTTCACTATCCAAACCCTTGTCCAGTGCTGCTGACCACTGCATGCATGTGATTGGCTGGTCAACATGTGTGGTGTGGATGACCTCTGCTTTCTCTACTCTGCATAGGAGTAACCGTCCAGATTGGTATCCAACTGCTAACACTGTAAAGAGATGTGTGGAGTATGGGTTACTATGTTTGATATTCTCATCATGGATGCTGCTAAAGGTGAGTTCTGGTAATGCGATTGCATTGTGAAAGAAAAGGTGTGAAATGGATCAGAAAAAGTTGATCATGTAGCATGTAAGTGTTGGTGTGTATATGTACTGCAAGGTTCTGGAGTCATCAAAATGATAATAAATTTGGCCCAGTCTTTGTAAAGTAACAAGCACTGTACACAGAAAGATGTGCATGGGACTACACAAATTGTGTCGGGATTACCTACCTTGATTTCCTTATCTTTCTATGCTCATTACTCAGCCAGTACACATTTTCTACCAAAATTGTTTGGCAAATGACATTTATTTGTAATCTTGAACATCCAGTGCAAGTTTTGTTTGATTCTGTGAGAATTCATTTTCTTTTTTTACCAGAACTCAAGTTTATCTTTAAAATTGGATTAAGGGGAGGAAACAAAACACAAAATACCAAATGACTTAAATTACAACACAGTTCTTAAACCATTAAATCTTGAAATGTAGCAAAGTCTGTTTAATCTGATAATTTGTTTTCTATTTATTTAGGAGTTCACTCATGAACTCTTGATAATGCAAGTAGTAACCATGACCTGAAAGTGATCTTGTGCTGCTTTCCTTTGTGCTACAAAACTGACACGACTGCTTGTCATTGTAATTTCTTTTGGTTTGCAATTACAAAGCTCTGCAAATTTTGTTTACATTACTGCTGGTCTCAACATTCAAATTCATCAAAAAAGAATCCTTTCTTTTAATGACTAACCATTCAGAATATATTTTTAAGCCTTTTCCCTTGATAGAGTAAACTTACCTTTCCCATCTGGTCTCCAAGCCAGAGCTCTTACTTCTTTACCTTCATCTTCACTTGGAGGACTGAGGGTCCAGATAGGTTGACGCTGCCAGGTCAACCTCTGTAATAATACCTGGACATAGGATAAGAAACCCCCTTGTCATATTGATCATCTACTGATCTTCGAAGACTAACAAATATACCTATTTCATTAAATAGCTTATCAGTTACCCCCCCCCCCCCCTCGATTCTACAGGAAATACTTCATGTATCAAAGAAGATGCTCAGGCATTTAAAAACAATCATGTATCAAAGTAAAGTATGTCCAAAAGTAAAAAGATTTTTTCTTTAAGTCATCCCCTGACATTTGATTGATCTCCACTGACAAAAAAAATACCTTACTCTCCATATGCATATCCATAAACATTAATCTAAAAATAGGAAATTGATTTTAAGTGAAAATGATTAAACTTTTTGAAATTGCATGAAATGTCAGTCATCACAGCCTTTAGCTACAACAAGTACAATATCAATTTTGATGATCCTACTACATTAATGCACATCAGTGTGATTAATTATGCAAACTCACCTCTCCATTTTCGTTTGCTAGAGCAATGAGATCCATCTTGGGGGACCACTGCATGAGGGTCACCTCTACAGAGAGGTTCCTCTCCTCTAGCTGGCGGAACGACTGCTGCATTGTGGATGGTGCTGCAACTTTCTTGGACCATGTGACAGTGTCTTAGTAAGTAGTCTGAGAAGCCGAGGACATCTGTTCAATCAAACCTTAAAAACAATGACAGACAGCAGATTTAATTTCACCCGAGTGCTAATGACAAGCTAGACAGAAATCACCCTCTGGTATTGGTACGGGAATTCTTAATAGAACTTACATTTGTCAATCTTCCCCATATGTAGTTAAGACTAGAGTCGAGACTCGAGAAAGAGGTGATCAGTAGAGCCAGACAACGGACATAGTCTAGGCGGACCAAACGTCGATATCAGATTCAGAGACTGAAGCTTTCGGTCTTCTGTTTAGCCAATGAACTTTATGAATTAGATCTAGTCTAGGCCTATGTTCATAAAATTTGTGTGTGTATTATTCTAAATCTAACCAAGTCGTGAAATTAAAGTTTCAAGTAGGCCAAGATGATCTACGCGACTAGCTAGGCCACCCCCCCCCCTCCCTCTAACAAAATAATTGAATTGTAAAAAAATTGGAACCACACCCAATCTACTGCAAAACGCAAAAGTTTATTTGGCTGTGAAAATCGCTGTCGTTTATCAATTGCAAACATTTCTCATTTTACAGTACATTTAGCACGATCGAGATCGAGAGGGGGAAGGGCCGGGCCAGGCCACTCCAGCAAAGCATAGAGAGTCAATGCTAAAGCGTATCTGCCCCTTCCCTGGGCCAGGCCAGGGAAGGGGCAGAGAGCAGAGCCTAGGCTGGTCATCACGTGAAATATGCCACCTGCCAAATTCTTCTAGCGGCGCCGCGCGATCGGGAGCCGCAGCGGGGCGGCGGAAGGACGAAGGCTCTACACCGTATACACGTTGGATCACGCACTGATATCAGTGATAAGTAAGTGTTACATTTAAAGTAAATCTCACTATGTAGACCAGAAATTTGATAGTTTTAAACAGTTCGAATCACGGCTAGGGGTAAAAATAAATGTAAAAGTATATGGGGCCTGTGAAATACCGTAGATCTAACTTTAGAGGTCTACTCACGGGCAAATCATCTGACAGTCAACCTCCGCGCCAGTCAGCTCAATCGCCAAAGATTACTGTAATGATCTAAACAAGAGATGGCGCTAAACAAGACTCGATCGAACGAATTCCCCTTCTGAAGGGAATCTTACAAAATCCATTCACAAATTAAATCTTATAAAGTGCTTGAACCTTGTCCGTCTTACAAGACAGCGTACTATTCACTCCCTCTCTCCATTAAAACGAATAATCGACATTTGTGTAGCTCAAAACCTGTAAATCAACACCAGTTCCCATATCTTTACATAACAAATGCAACAGCAATCATTGCTATCTACACTGTCGCTCATAAAGGTGGAATATTTTAGTTTTACCCCAATTCATGTAATTATTTTAAAAATTATTTAAAAATAATAGATCTAGATAATAGTATACATTCTCAGAGTTTATTGAATACTAATATGCCAATGTGTGTTTTGCGTGACTGCTAAAGAATGTGTATGCTACTATGCTTATTATCTAGGGGACCTGCGCCCTCAAGTCATAAATGACAGTAATGAGGATTAGTGCCCCACAAAAGGGGACTAATATAGTACATCGACACGGTTTTGTTCCTGGGGCCTCACAGTTACGAGGCCATTGTTTTGTCACTGAACCATGACTGTACGCAGCGGGGGCTAGGGTAGGGGGCAACTTTCCATAAATAAAAAAAAAACGAAAATGCAATAAACTTTCAAAAATTTATTGCATTTTACCCCGGTCCCCAACATAAAAAAATTCTCTAGACGGCTATGCATTATCGCTCAAGGCATGGGCACACAGAAGATTTTGTTATGTTGGGAACCGGGGTAAAATGCAATAAATTATTGAAAATTTATTGCATTTTTTTTTTTTTTTAAATTTATGGAAACTACCCCCTACCCTAGCCCCCGCTGCGTACAGTCATGGTTCAGTGACAACGCAATGGCCTCGTAACTGTGAGGCCCCAGGATCAAAACCGTATGGATGTGCTATATTAGTGCCCTTTTGTGGGGCATTAATCCTCATTACTGTCATTTATGACTTAAGGGCATAGGTCCCCTAGTTGATAAGCATAGTAACATACACATGCTTTAGCAGTCACGCAAAACATACATTGGCAAATTATTATTCAATAAAATCTGAGAATGTATACTATTATCTAGATCTATTATTTTTAAATTATTTTTTAAATAATTCCATAAGTTGGGATAAAAAACAATATTCCACCTTTATGAGCGACAGTGTATATGGATGCAGAGAGAATAGAAGGAGTGTGAGACACATATAAATAAAGAAAATATCAGCAAACCAGATGATGTATATAATTAAATGCAAATGGTGATAAAGAAATGCTATTTAAATAAAATTCTGAACATTGCTTCTAAAGAATTCAAGCGGGCAGCTGCACTTTCAATCATATATCATTTCCATATTCATTCATTTTTAAAGACATGTTGTGCGATGATTACCTTGGAAGATCGACATCTTCAACATAAATACAGTTTTCTTCATTTACCATATCCCTATACCTCTGCCAAAAAAAAAAAAATGGAGAAGAGAAAATAACCCGTGATGCTATAATAATAATAATGATCTTTTAAAGTCCACTCCAAATTTTATTAAACCGAAACGGAAATTATTTTTGCCCTATCAGGGGCGGATCTAGCTTTTTGCTCAGGGGGGGGTTGACCAATAATGACGTTTATTTGAACCCCGTAAGTGATGTTTTCCTGGCATCTATTAACACAATGGAGACCATAAAAAGCAGTGCATGATAACGTCTTTTTAAATCAAGTAACAGTTAAATACACAGTTATATCCAGAGTTATCATGTGTTTGGTTAAGTTACCAGATGAGTTGAATATCTTCTCACAATATTTGCACTTGAAAGGGTTTCTCTCCAGCGTGCGTTCTTTTTTCTTTTTCTTTTTTTTTCTTTTTTTTTTTCTTTTTTTTTTTTTTTTTTTTTTTTTTTTTTTTTTAATGTGGGGATTTTGGGGATGAGAATCGGCAACGCTGGCCTAGCTTGTCACTTCGGTGGTGGCCCGTGTCCTCAAAAAAGCTGATGGGGGGGGGGGGGGGCAAGGGACTCTGTGATATTTGTTCGCCCAACCCCCCCCTCCCCCCAAAAAGAAATAATAATAATAATAATAATAATAATAATAATAATAATAATAATAATAATAATAATAATAATAATAAATGAAATAAATACATAGAAATAGAATAAAATAAAATTACAAGTTTAAAAAAAAAGATAAGATTTAAAAAAATGGTCCCCGGATTTTTTTTTTGGGGGGTTGCAACCCCCCCAACCCCCCCTCTAGATCCGCTTCTGCCTATTGATCGTGAGCCCGGCAGCCACTGAGCAGCGCCAGATCGACACAGTAACGGGCAAAGTAACAGTTTCAGTCAAATGTACTTTGTACACCCTCGCCAATATTGATTAAAATTTATTCTCATTCATGTTCTCTTCGTATAGATAACATTAATTTAGGCCCCATTTATTTTAGTATAATTTGTTCTAGTTATTTTCCTCTTATAATGAAATCATTATGATTATCATTATACTATTTCTATCTTTTTATCATCATCATCATTATTGTTATTAATATTATTATTACTAATAATTTTCGGTTACCTCCCGGTATGAATATTTTGGCCGTTTCCCCGAATGCAAGAAATCTGAACATCCATTGGGGCGGGGGGGGGGGGGCTGTAGCCCCCTAACTCTGCCTTTTACGCTTTAACATGGTTGATCGTTTTTAATAAAATTTGAGTTTTCGTATAATAAAAAAGAACGAATGTTTTGAATTTAAGTTTCAAGTTAAAAGGGGCCTATACTATATTTTGCTAGCAGTCTTTGCATTTCACAGATATTTCAAGCATTCTAATCCATGCCCCCCCGTTTTGAAACCCAGTTTACAAAGCCTAACTAAGTATACAACCCCCGGGTGGTTCTTTAAATACTCTTCATGGATCATATTTTTCGCCAGTGCCAATTGTATGTATTCTTATTTTCATTCTCGAAAGGACGTCACTTCAGGCCTATGCTTAAGACGACCCCATTGTTGTATATACCTTGTCATTATCATACATGTAAATGTAATTATGTTGATATATATCGAATCGAACTTAAAATTAATAGTTAATGAAATACAAATACAAGCTAATATTTGTTTTCCTAATCAAGTGCTCACACTGTACCTCGGCTGATAATGGGATATATTTAGCGCGACTGGTTTCCTCCACTATCTGTTATTTCTCCTATAATGTAACTAACTGCCTATCAATTAGACATTTTAGTGTAAATACCCTACAGGCGTATGTCAGTGTTATAGTCAACGCCATAGTTATTTCCCGCAAATCAACTGGATAAAACGACGATTGACATGGCCATGGCTCAAGTAAGTTGATCAGGTTGTACTTTTGTACTCAATCGACTTTTTCATTAAAAACCAGTCAATAATTACTAAGTAAGGCACGTTGTTCCTTTTTTCACCAATTTAAAGAGAGGTTTGCAGAAATTATCTTTGTCTGAGCTGCATGCAAACACACTATTATAAAAGTGGGCAAAATTCACTGGGTATTAGACATTTTTTTAGAGGGGAGAGGGAAAAAATAAATCAAGTTTCATGCATGAGAAAAAAGTCGGGAAAAGAATAAGTTAAAGATAGAAAGTATAAGAGGGAGAGAGGGAGGGAGAGAGAGAGAGAGAGAGAGAGATAAAGATAGAGAAAGAGAGAGAGAGAGAGGGAGGTGGAGAGAGAGAGAGAGAGAGAGAGGGGGGGGGGGGGGGGGGGGGGGGGGGAGAGAGAGAGAGAGAGAGAAGGGAGGGGGAGGGGGATAATCAAAGGACATAAAGAGGACCAGAACGAAAGAGAAACAAATCAGGGTGTAGGCGGATGAACACTGAACATTTTATTTTCCTCAAGGAAGAGGTTGGGGAAGGAGGTTCGATCCACCCCTTGATCCGCCTGATAAGTTATCTACATGTATAGTGGTACAAAGGGGGGGGGGGGGGGGAGGGGGAGGGTTCCGGCTATAAGAGGCAAGAAGGGAGATGAGTCAATGATTCTAAAGCTCACGGCCCCGTTTCCTGGGTTCCCACTACTCACTCATCCCTTTAAGAAAGGTTGGGTGCTTATTATGTATTCATGATATATTTCACTCTCTACCTTTCTTTTTACTCTCAGTAACTTTTTTTAACTGCTCTAATTATTAAATGCTATTATTTTTGTCATAAAATGTTATTATGTATTTAATGCATTAATTGACTAAAACATCGGCGTTTTAACAAAAATATACTTAATTCAGTTTCTGTATAATCATTTTATAATTCACATACTCAAGTGGAATACAATTTATGTTGAATGGAATCGAATAAAAATGACGGAAAAGGAAAGAAAGATATATATATATATATATATAATTAATATTAATTCTATTGCACACAATGTGTCATCTTACGTCTGACGTAAGACAGCGTCAATGACAATGGTATTGTATTTTGACGCACAAAAAGAGAGAGTGACAAGGTACACGTAGTGATTGGAGTTTGATTGGCGCAATGGTAATAAATTAATACACCTCGCGTGCAAGAAAGACATGTTTATCGATATTTTTTTTCATTGGAATGACATCGTTACGGAAGCTTGTAAGTGCCAACCAGACGACGAAATAAGAAGACAAGAAGACAAGTTAAATGACGAGAAGTCCAGTTGTTGGAACTCGGCAAGTCGACTTGTTTGGGACAAGAAGACAAGATGACGAGTTGTTGAAACTCGAAACTTGATTAAGCACTCGTTGATGTATAGGCTATACCGGTAAACCATTTTCAAGGGGGCATATGACTTATTTGTATATAATTGATGTTTGCGCCCAGATTTGATTTGATCCCAAACAAGTCGACTTGCCGAGTTTCAACAACTCGTCATCTTGCCTTCTTGTCCCAAACAAGACGACTTGCCGAGTTTCAACAACTCGTCACCTTGTCTTCTCGTCCCAAACAAGTCGACTTCCCGAGCTTCAAAAACTCGTGATCTTGTCTTCTTGTCCCAAACAAGACGACTTGCCGAGTTTCAACAACTCGTCACCTTGTCTTCTCGTC